TTTGTAAGTAGAGAAAATAAAAGTTAAAATATGTTTACAAAGACTGGTTAACCAATTCAAGAAATGTTTTTGATGTATAAGCTTGAAGCGGGGAACAAAATACAAACGTATAGTTTTAACTAAAAGCATAGAGAAGGCGAAATGGAAAGAGACCAAACTTTTCACAGTGGACTCTGGCTTATGACATTGTTCTTTCTCCTCACCCCCACCCCCATTTTATTATTTTATTTGGAGGAGGGAGTAAGCTTTCCAATTTCTCAATAATGAAAATCTTTGAGAAACAGGAATAAAGTAAAAACAGTAAGACAGGGAATCCAACCAACAGTGTCATGGCTGATATGACCCTATGCAGAAACACAAAATGGTCCCCAGTCTTATTTGGAGACTGGGAGAAGCTGTGATTAGTCCGTGAAGAGCTGTATCAAAATAGTATTACACATCCCCTCTCAAGAGCCCCTCAAGTCCCATGGTTGAGCAATCTCCCATTTCTTCTCTCTGGCAGCTTTGCACATAAGAAATAAATAATAACGAGGGTGGCATTTTCCATTTTTGTTATCGTCTATGTGGGTGGCACCTTCTCTTCTTGTGTCTGCCATAGAATTCAACTTCTACAACTCAATAGAGGCTTAATAAATGCTTCCTGACCTTCTGGAACCTGCAAAACTAGAATTGGCAACGCTGATGAGGGAAAGAGCACAAAATATATGTATATTCCCCTCCAAATATGCTTAATTAGAGCTTCCCATCCAGTGCACTGTTTCATCTAATTCAAAACCAGTACAGTCTGAACAGCAGTAATGGAGACTCATTAAGTGCCATTAGCAGCAGCCACATTGCATGGACACAATAGAAACCAGCAACCATTCACAGCAACAGGTAACGTGCTACAATACAGACCTGTTAGACAAATAACCTGGTCACCCTCAAATCGGGTCCTCTGGCTTTTACAGGCACTTATTTTCTAAAGCATTATGTCCTATGAAACATATTTTAATTATATTCCTCAACCGTGAGCTACATTAATTTAATCTATCCTTTCAGTCATTCTGACACATGAAGCACATTCTTATCATTTTCGTTTCCCCTGTGCAAGGTTTGAGGATGGAGGGGAGACCAGGATGGGTTCTTGTTTTACGGTGGGCCTTTGGACAAAATATTTTAAAATGATATTATAACAGGTATAATTATAGTCATTATGACAACTGTAATCTTCAGTGAGTGGTCATTACGTGCCAGGCATTTTCCAAAGGCTCTACACTATTCTCTTATTTAATCCACATACCAACCCTATAAGGTAGTCATCACTATTATCCCTTTCGTGAAAAGAGGACAGGTCACATGGCCAGTCACGTGATCGGTGACAGAGTCCTACTCCGCATTCAATGGCATGAACCATTGTGCCCCTGCACCTCTCAGCAACTCAGCTGGGATCCAGGCAAAGTTCTCTGGGGGCTCCTGGAGTCCCATGAAGTGCTAAGTGAATTACACCCATGTTTCCCATGCTGGGAGGTGTTTGGTCACAAATGTTCCTCAATACAGTTTCACAGCCAAATAATGACAGACCTGCTCAACCTGTAACTCTACTGAGTCACAACGCACTTTATGTTAGTGTGTGAACTTTCTAAAAAATGTAGCATTTCCCAAATACAATGGACCAAACATGCTTCCTATGCAGAAATACCTAATGAACATCTTACTGCACAGCGCAGAAAGGGAAATGCTGACTTATACCACTACGTCAATAGGCAGCCAGCATTCCACATAGAGAAAGTAAGACATAAAACAGACCTAATATGTTCTCCTTTTCCACTTTCACAGCTCACTTCATTCTGTAAGGACAAGGCTGATCTCTGCTCTCAAGGTGGGCAAACAAGCAGATAGCCTCCTGATCTCCTTGCCCTCCCTCTGCAAATGACTGTTCCGCTACCTGAGAAAAATATTCTTCCCTCCCTCCCTCCCCCACCTCATTTTTGAGCTCCCTGAAATGACCTCAACAAAAATAATCGTGTAAAAGCAGGTTGGTAAAATAGCACTATCAAGAGGGAACATTGATTATGTGTTGAAGTTAAATTAGAGCTTCCTAATTACATTGTAGAATCCTTGAAAGCATCTAAAATATTTTCCAGAAGCTACATATCCATCTACCTTCTAATCCTTCTCTATTTGATCCCAAGAAAAAAAAAAATCAGGAGCCCTGGACAGGTGGCTCAGTTGGTTGGAGTGTCATCCCATACACCAAAAGGTTATGGTTGGATCCCTGGTTGTAGTGCGTGCGGGAGGCAACCAATCACATTGATGTTTCTTTCTCTCTCTCTCTCTCTCTCTCTCTCTCTCTCTCTCTCTCTCTCTCTCTCTCCCCCCCCCCTTTTGCTCCCTCCCTTCCACCCTCCCTTCTATGAAAAAAATATCCTCAGGTAAGGATTCACACACACACACACACACACACACACACACACACACACACAATGAAGAAACACATTTAACTTCTGTTGATCTGCTTCCAGTTACAAGAGCAGTTCTGGCCAGTGTTGTTCAGTGGTTGAGTGTTGACCTATGAACCAGGAAGTCACGATTCAATTCCTGATCAGGGCACATGCCCTGGTTGCTGTCTCGATCCCCACTAGGGGGTGTGCAGGAGCAGCTGATTAATGATTCTCTCTCATCATTGATGTTTCTATTCCTCTCTCCCTCTCTCTCTTCCTCTCTCAGAAATCAATAAAAACCTATTTTTTTTTAAATGCATGCCAATGCATGCCGTCTCCCTATTTTAACCCAACGCTGGGTACCCACAATTAGCAGTACATCCACAATAGTTTGGATCCTACTAGTTTCTGAATGTGTTCACTCTTGCAACACATCTCCTCTCTCCTCAAACCTCTGAATGGACTCCCTGCACTGTCCCCCCCAAAGCACACATGCCCACAGGCGCTCTCAGCTGGTCACGTTACTGTGAGATCCGTGTTCCTAACCCATGCATCTCCTTCACACTGGCCACGTTCTCTCCTGGCCTGCTCCTCCATGAAACCCCTTCCCCAGGATTCCATGTTAGCAAATCACCTCCCCACTCCTCCTGCAGCTTCTCCTTGCTGGTGGATCATTTCCAAGACCATCCACCCTACTGTTATCACATGAAACAAAAGAAAAGAACTTTACTGTGTCCCCAAATCCCTCCTTGCTTCCCTTCACAGTAAACCTTTCCACAAAAGCTGTAATTGCTGTCTCCACTTCTTCTCAATTCCACTGCACAGCTAACTGCTGGTCAGGCACCCTGAGATCCTCATGACTCTCCATGCAACCAGCATGGTACACTGGACCTCCTCCGGACCTCCCTGCAGCCCCCGGACACCCTTGCTGCTGCCTCAGGCGCCTGCATTTGCTGCTCCTTCAACCAGGTGCACCATGCCACCAGGTGTCTCTGCCTGGCCCACCGCCCTCAGTCTCTCCCCTCACCCACCTCAGAGTGACCTGCCTGCACCAGGCTGCCCAAAACTGCCCAACCCACCCCTCAACTCTGACAGACCCCTTGCCACCATCGTTTTCCATCTATATATATAAAAAGCCCGTGGCCATAACACCGTAATGCCGTAACGCCATAACGACCAAACAACTGGTCACTAGGAGGTGCATTGATGGGTCTCGCTGGCACGGCGGGGCTGTCGTCCCGCCTCATGTGGTGGGTGGCAGCACGGCAGACACTGGGGTCCCACCCCCACAGTGGTACGGTGGGTCTGGGGTCTCACGCAATTTCGCACGCTGGGCCTCTAGTTCCTTTATAATAGTACTGTAACTTTCTTCATGGCTCTTTTACTGCTGAACATTAAATTACATATTTCTTTTATGTGTTTCCTTTATTTTTTTCTCCTCCACCCCCTCACTCCTCCACATGCACACACTAGTATGTAAGTCCTATGGAGGTAGGGACTCTTGTCTCTTATTCACCATTCACGTCCAGTAACTAGATTTAATAAACAGACATCAATTACATAAACATTATATGTTACTAGAGAACATTTTAGAGAATCCAAACCTCTGCGTTTCGAAAGTAGATCTTTGTACCCTTTTAGACATTCTAGTAGAATCAGGTTTGGGTGGTAGTTTGGGGATGGAAAATACATTCATCTTTTACCTTTCTGCTGTCACTCGGATTCGTTCCTCACAACTACAATTCAGACCTTCCGTCTTCTCATGGAAATACTTTTCCACACACTGTTCTTCAAAATCGTGAAGTTTTTTCAGATCCTCCTTACTCAGGTAGAGTTCTGTGAAAATAAGTATGTTACACAAAAATAATCATGATTCACCTTTAATAGGATTCTGATACAGTGTGTGAGCGGCTTTTCTTCTACTTGTGCTGTAATTTGATAAACTGTAGCTTGTATGGTAAAACTTTGCTGCCTTGTCAGACTGTATTCCTTGTATTAATGGGGATACAGGATATAGGAACAGCTGGAAACGTATGTCTGGTCTTTCCTGTTTGTCCTATTAACGGGCATGGGAATCTGAAGATGACTCATAGAGAACAGACACTTCCTCTTCAATATTTTAGTAGGTTAGAATGTTTTTACACATCAACAAAAATTCACTTCTGCTCAGTGGAAAATCCATGTATAAATTTTGACTCCCCCAAAACGGATGGTCCTTTTCTTCCCTGCCAACTGTTTTATCATTCAAAAGGACAATAAATAAGCTACAGGTTAAAATCAAGGCTAAAAGACAAAGGTTAAAATCAAGGCTAAAAGACAAAGCCTTTATCTGAAATTAATCTGTAAGTGTAAGAAAGCTCGACCTTCTTAGACTGAGTGTGCATATACTAAATTCTATTGGAAAAAGATACCTTACTATCCGTCAGTCACCGATGGAGGCTAACCCCCCTCCCTGACACAGACAGCATTTGGTGATGCAACTCTACATCAAACTTCAACAGTCATTCAGTCTACAAACTTGGCTGTCACTCTGACCTAACCAGAAAAAATACATCTTTTGAGCAAGTTTCCAGCACTTAGAAAACACAAAAATGGTGTTGAAAAGGGGTAAAAGTGGAAGGGTCTCTTCCTTCAATCATTTCACTTAAACTAGAGAAACAAAGAACCATCAGAGTTCTCCAGAATTTATTAGAAGTGAAAGTATTCCATTATTTTCCCATATAATAAGAGACAAACATATGAACTTCAAATTGAAAAACACAGCTAAAAGAAAACAATATCCAAGTGCATAATGTTTTCTGATTTCATGGCGTGGAAGATTCAAATATTTAAAAAAAATCCATTATCTCCCCAACTCTCAATATCTGTTTGCATTAAAGACTCTCCTATGAACAAGAAACTTTACAACTGTCATGACTTGAAACTCCTGTGCATTCCTGAGAGCAAGCAATCCACCGAGCAATTCCAGTAACCGGTGCCAATGGTGGCATGTGGAGCGTTCTTGGAACTGTCCGCCAGGTGGCACTGCTGCCCCATATGCACACATCTTGATCCTCAATACAGAGGAGTGGAAGCAATCTCACAAAATTTAGGACTTTTCCAGAGCTTGGAGTGAAGAGAAAATTTACTTGAGTTTTATACCAGATTCATCCGATAAGCCCAGACCCAGCTGAACCCAGGTATGGTGCTAGGAAATCTGACCAAATCCTAGTTAATTCCAGGATCTCTCAAGTGGTTCACAATCTATTAGGTTGTGACCGTTCTGCAGCCAATGACTGGGATGGAGCTCTATTAAAAGCCTAAGAATTACAGTATAATTATAAGCCTTTAAATTCACTTCAATTGTCTTTGAATTCCTTACAAAGATTGAATCTCTGGTGGGGGAATGGAAAAGAAAAAGAAATCTCCAACGTGACTCGAGAGGAAAAATACTTCACATAACCAACAACCAGGAACAAAAGAATAACACCCTGTCAACCCTGCAGTAACACCTGTCCCCCTAAGGACTCAATGAAATGAGCAACCTCCTATCTGAAACTCCTGGAACCAGGTGTGTTTTAGTGTTTAGAATTCTGTTTCTAGTTTTAGGAAAGTAAAAAAAGCATATATTCCACAAATGAGTAAAACACTTAGAGTAGTCCCTACAATCAAACACATGACTATTTCTGCAGCAAAATTGATGAATATTCACACTACAGGGGTAAAGAGAATAAGTGGGTTCACATTAGTCTTCTAAGCAACTTTTACCCAAATGAGTCTTCCCACAACCTACGAAGAAAAAAGACCTCCCATTTTCAGAGGTACTTTGGATTTGCAATTTGTGATAAAGGATTGTGGATTTATGCCACCTATTTCCTCTCCAGAATTATCTAGAAATGGACCTGGTATCAATTGTGGGATTGCTTGAGAGGAACTACAGAAGATCTGTAAAATCACAATAAGGAATGTTCTCTTGTGAGAATTAGTATGACAGTCATAGCATGCAGCCAAGATATGGTTTAGCAAAATGAACTAGGGAAATCTCAAAATATGTAGACATAAGCTTTGCAGAGAGAGAGAGAGAGAGAGAGAGAGCCCATTCTTCTGTATCCTGAGTGGTAGTACTTGGAGATGTCAAACATCTATTCAGAAGCACCTCCATGCTCAGAACAAGAGAATTATGACTGGTAAATAAGTTAAACAAAATGTCTTCTTTATCGATTTTCCTTAGACCATGAATTTCCAGGTCAGCAGAGAAAACACAGGTATTCCATAAATAACACCTGTGTAAAAACATAAAGCCTTTACACATTCAAACAGAGATTCTGTTCCTACCTATTCCATTCTTTCAAAGTATCAGTTAATCAAAAGGCACTATGATCACACAACCACAATGTGTTTCCCTAGACCCAGCTCTTCAGCTGACACTCTGGTGTCAGTGACTCCCCAGAGCCTTCCATCCTGTGCCCTGAATTTCACTGGCAATGCTCTGGTGTGCCTACACCTTGGATCTCCACTCCCTACTCTCTTCCTCCTGTCTCATCAATGAAAACTTACTTAATCCAACATCACCCTCTTCTTGGTCACTTGGAGCTTGATGATGGCAAAGGCGGCGAAGGAAGAGGCCAACATGGCTCAGCAGGATGAACGGTGGGGGCAGCCATGGCTTCTCGTGGTAGGTCATGATGTAGCGATAGCGATTGTACTTCCACAGTTTATTTGAAATGGATTTCATATCTACATAAACATTACTGTAAGTTGTAGAAAGAGAGGGACAATGTTTTAATATAGAACCCTGAAATAGAACAGATTTTTTTCTTTATTTTTCAATCAAATTTTATGATTGATTCACCCGACACATTACCAGCAGCTAGCCAATGAAAATAATATCCATTGCATTTCTAATTCTTCTTGCACCCAACAAAATACATTAATCACCTTCTACAATAAATCATGCTAGTAAGAATCAAAAAACAAAGTTAGAAAATACAATCAAAATGAAGAAAATGCTAACATTACAAATGCAATAAACAGAAACTGCCCTCTGGAACTTAACACTATTCTTGGTTCACCATCCCTTCTCATATAAGCTCCTTTCAGTCCATAATTCATCATTCATGGTAAACAGCTGTAATGTTCCTATATAAGCAACCTTATGAAGAGATTCTCCTAAAGTCAGATGTGAGAACTGCTAGAATAAGCCTACTTAAGGCACCCAGACAACACAATATTAAGAAGAAGAGACAGAGAAAAAGCATCAATTCATCCTAAAATAAATCAATAAGTCTGTATTTAGAAGCTAGATATATTATTTAGATGAACTTTACAATAAAAGTAATTGCTTATTGGTAGGTCACCTTGGATTTTCCCTTTAATTAAATCAATTATAATATGCCGACAGTGCAAAAAATATATTCATATTATAAAACTTTCAATAAAAGTTGTAGTGGTATAGTAGTTATTCAGTTATTCTAGATAATATATCATCTTTAACTACTCGGCTTTAAGTCTATAATGTGAGGAGGCTATAGCACAACAGAATGTCCATCTTAACATTGCACTTAGGCTAATATAAAATTTTATATATATATATATATATATATATATATATATATATATATATAGATAGATAGATCTATATATCTATATATCTATATTTATATAGATATATATATATATGTAATACTAAAGAAAAGGAGAAAGCCAGCTTAGGATAAGAGGATGGGGACATTTCATAAAGTAGAGTCCATAAAGTAGATGAAGAAAACGGATGACTGGGTTTTAATAGTTCTCAAAGTGTGGTCCCTGAACCAGAAGCAACAGCGTCACCTAAAAACTTGTCAGAAATGTAAATTCGTGGGCCCTATTCCAGAACTATGGAATTGGGAACTCCAGCGTGAGCATCATAGCAACTTGTAGCTCAGCAAGCCCTTCAGGTGATTCTCCTGCATGATCAAGTCTGAGAACCACCAGATTACATGCTACTGCCATTCCAGGTTTGACTACGGTCTGCCCAGCTGCAGGTAAAGATAGCCACAGTGTATTTCAGATTCTTGGTCATTAATTATAGGTACAAAGAATGTGGGAAGGGCCCCAAGTAGTCAGATCTTGGCTTTCTCAGCATTCTTGGTCCTCAATTGTGTTCATCTCTAAAGTGAGGAAATTGGTTCATGTGAGGATTCTCAACCTCTCTTGACACCTGATGTTTTTGAGAAATAAAAATCTAATGCCCTTCTCTTAATATTACTTGATATATCAAAATATAGCAATAATTACTAATCACCAATAAGTTTTAAAGTTCATGAAATGCTGGAGCTACAAGTGATAATAGCTATCATATAATCTTGTAAAAAGCAGGAAGGTATTTCCTTCCCATTACATGCAACTCATTTTTTCTCATTTATTTTGCCTCCCTCTAGCCTTTATCTTCTCTACTTTCTTTACTTACATTTTATACATTGATTTCCCTTTTCTCATATCTTCAGTACTTGGGATAAATTCAAGCAAACAAGAACACCAACTTGTCCTTGATGAGCTTTATGTCTATCTGAGAAGACAGATAGACATAAAAATACAATACATAAATTATAAAATATATTTGTCTATGTTATATAAGTGGGTAAGAAAAACGAAGAGTAAGGAGGAGCAGACATGCCAAGGAGACAATTGAAGGAAAGGGGGCTGCACTTGTAAATATCATCCTTAGATTAGACCTAAGTTAAAAGGGGACATTTGAGCAAAGACTTGAGAAGGAGTGAGGGAATGAACCACACTGATGCCTGGGAAGAGCATTCCACACAGAGGGAACAGCAAATGTAGACACGCCTGTGTTGCTGAGGAGCCAATGTCGTTGGAGAGAAATGGATGAGGGGAAGATAGTGTGATGTGTGATTTGAAAGGTAGAAGGGAAGTCAAATCACAGGGAGTCCTCTAGGTCATGGTAGGAACTTCAGCTTTTACCCAGAGGGAAATGGGGAGCCATTAAACAATTTGGAGCAGAGGAGTGACATCATTTGATATATGTTTGTAAAGGGTCACTGTGTTGATAATAAAATATAGGGCCACCACAGAAGCAGATGAATAAATTAGGAGGCTCTATGATAGCAGTGGGGTAGTGAGAGGTGGCTGGATTGATGATCTATTTGAAGGTAGAGTCAACAGGCATTCCTGACAGGTTTCAGTTGAAAGTACTAGAGGCATTGAGAATGAATCCAAGGTTTTTGGTCTGAACAAGTGAAACGATGGAAGTCTGACAGAAACCTGTGGTCTTCCTCATAAATTTGGGAAAGACTACAAGTAAAATGGGTACATGTCGGGAAAGAGGGGAGATCAAGAATTTGAACGTTACAATTTTTAGAAGTCTATCATATACTTGCCTGGCCACGAAAGGGGCAGTTGGATCTACAGGACTGAAGTTCAAGGGGGGGGGGGGGGGATGGGGCTAGAGATATAAATAAGGATTTCTCAGCATATGCAGGAAACTGATCAAGATCACCAAACAAAGCGTGAACAAAAGACAAGCAAATCCCACTCCTGACACACACACACACACACACACACACACACACACACACACACACACAAAAAGACAAGCAAGGTCTGCCCCCAGGGACCTTCTAATGCTTCTAATGTTAAAAGGTTAAGGAGAAGATGACCCAGAAAAGGAGACTGTAAGTGAAAAGTGATAGAAGAAAACAGTATGAGACACATTGGGAGCCAAGTGAAAAAGGACATCAAGTACTCCTTAGCCATCTGTCAACCTCACCAACTGTGATTCTTCCATGATTCTAATTATTACTTCATTACAATGCATAATTCCTTTCACCCCACTTTTATTTACTTCCATTTATTGTTTTTCTCTTCTCATGCTCTACTGCCTTCCTAAGAGTAGTTTCATGCCCATATTTTGAAATACGGGTCACACAAAAACCAAAGGTTACACACTCAAAATATATGTGAATCTACCCCAAATACCTGCTCCCATCTTTATTTCAACAAAATAACCATATTTAATTAAAATAACCTACTTGAAGAAAGCAATTAACAGGTTCACCATGATGATATATTGCACAAAGAGGTAGACAGCTTGGAGAAACGGAGTAAGAAAAGAACCAGGAGGGCAGGACGTCTTGTTTGAACAAACTACAAAAAAAAAAAAATAGCATTTAAAAGAAGGAGATAAGATGAATCACAGCCCTATGATTCTAAGTAAATATTTAGCACATTAACTTAGCAGAATACCATACATTTTTTATATTTTTTAAGATTCAGGTGATTACTTTCCAGATTTTTATTTTACTCTGAGCATCTACAAAAGTTCAATTCTGTGGCTGATGAACTCTGCCACGCACCATCTATTTCTGACGCGTAGACTTCTCCGTACATCATCCAGTACGGCTCGAACACAATGTCCCGCGCGAGGCTCCAAGACGGGGGCTCCTGGGGCGAAAGGATGGCCTTGCGTGCCACTCCGAAGCTCAGCAGGACTATGGCCATTATGATCACAATGTAGAACATGTTTGCTGTCTGCAAAATAGGACCGCACAAGAATTTTACCACAGATTTGAAATTTATAGTAAAACAAATAAAACACTAGCAACCATCATGATTATACCTGCCAATAATAGGACTGTCTAGTCATTGACCAAAATGCCCTAATCCATGCACAGCTGGCTTTCCTTTGGCTAAACCACTTTGTTTTTCCTGCACAGTTATGTGTCTCATGTCAACATGGCCTATGGAATAGCATAAATTTGCTAGTGGTAGAGAATCGTGCTTCTTTTCTTAAGAAGTAATGAGATGTGAACAGCTTGTGACTAGCGAATATCCAACTTTTCACCCACTGGGCCAGAAGTTAGAAAAAGAAAAAAAAATAGGGATACTCAAATTAGTAAAATGTGGGGGTTTTTTTATTTCCACAATTCTCTAAGGACATTTGTTAAATACAGGTGTGGGCAAAAGTAGGTTTATAAGAGTTCATATAAAAAATAATACAATGATCTATACTAATAAAAGGGGAATATGCTAATTATACCAGGTCAACTGTATATCTTCTGGACGTTTGACTTCCTTCCAGGCAGTTAGGGGTGATCAGGCAGGCAGTTAGAGTGGTTAGGGGAGATCAGGCAGGCTGGCAGCAATTAGGGGGTGACCAGGATGGCAGGGGGGCAGTTAGGGGACAACCAGGCCAGCAGGGGAGTAGTTAGGGGGTGACCAGACTGGCAGGGGGGCAGTTAGGGGGCAACCAGGCCAGCAGGGGACCAGTTAGGGGCAACCAGGCTGGCAGGGGATCAGTTAGGGGGCAACCAGGCCGGCAGGGGGGCAGTTAGGGGGCGACCAGGCTGGCAAGGGGGCAGTAAGGAGGCGACCAGGCCGGCAAGAGTGGTTAGGGGCGAGCAGGCAGGCAGGCAGGCAAGCAGTTAGGAGCCAGCAGTCCCAGATTGCAAGAGGGATGTCTGACTGCCCATTTAGGCCCCATCCCACAGGCAGTCAGACATCCCCTGAGGGGTCCTGGATTAAAGAGGGTGCAGGCTGGGCTGAGGGACACCCCCCTTCCCCGGTGCACGAATTTTGTGCACTGGACCTCTAGTTAACAAATAATAATACAAGAATAAATTCTGTGCATCGTGTACTCATAACTGTAAACCCACTTTTGCCCCACTCTGTATGAGTTTGTGGTTATAAGAAAGCAGTGATGAAATGATCTTATTTTCTGTGCCTCTATAAGTAATTTCAAAACTTAAACTATTGAATGTGAACCATGAAAGCAGGCAAAAGCATTGAAAAGAGCACCAGAATACACAAGCAGGCAGTACTCACCATTTTTGCAATCATGGTCACATATGGACCTGCATGTTGGTTCACAGCGAAGAAGTCTAGGAGTCGTGAGAACCAGAATATGATGTCAATGCAGTAGATGAGCCTTCCCGCTGTGTGCAGAGGAGGGTTACCCCACCGCAGGCCAAAACCAACCAAAAACAGGCCAGTAGCCACAGTTTCCATGAGGTTCCAGTACTCACTAATCCATACCTTTACCTTTTGAGTAAACTTTTCAGGTTCTGAACTACAGACCTAAAAGGAGAACAAACAGGGGAAACTTAGTGCATGGTATAATTCAAGACTCTCATCAATATCATCTTCTTTAATGTATCAACTGCTTCATTTAGACCAGTGGTTCTCAACCTTCCTAATGACCCTTTAATACAGTTCCTCATGTTGTGGTGACCCCCAATTTCATTGTTACAAATTGAACATAATTAAAGCATAGTGATTAATCACAAAAACAATATGTAATTATATATGTGTTTTCTGATGGTCTTAGGCGACCCCTTGTGAAAGAGTCGTTCAACCCCCAAAGGGGTCGCGACCCACAGGTTGAGAACCTCTGTTTTAGACAGTAATTTAAATGCTGCCAAAAAAAAAAAAAAAAGATCACAAGAGGATTTTGGAGACTTAAGTTAGCCTTGGATAATTATTTAAACGACTCTATAAATATATTTTAATGTCACTGTTACAGATAGCCAGCTATTTGAAACCCCAAACAGAAGGTTTTTTTGTTTGTTTTTTAAAAAGGTAGTGTTTCTAGCTTTCATTATTCCTAAACTAACACAGGGAAACACCTAGACATTTTAGAACTTAACATTGCAATGGATCTATATAGCTGCAATTCCATTTCATGAGATACAGTACAGCACAAAGAAGACTGTTTTGAAACCAAGGAATTCTGTAATCTGGTCCTACTACTGCTCTCTAGTGAGTTGTTGAAAAATTACTCAGAATGTGATATTAGAACTCACTATTATAAGAAATTACCCTGCAACAGAAGATCAAACTGAAATGTAAAATAAACCTATTTTCCCAGAAGCATAAAAAGGGTAGAATTCAGATAACGTTTTTTTCCTGAATTGTTTTCTAAAACCTATGAACCCAATAGTAACTAGCAGACTATATAAGTATGATTACTCAGAATGTATTTTCTGCCGAAACCAGTTTGGCTCAGTGGATAGAGTGTCAGCCTGCGGACTGAAAGGTCCCGGGTTCGATTCCGGTCAAGGGCATGTACCTGGGTTGCGGGCACATCCCCAGTAGGAGATGTGCAGGAGGCAGCTGATCGATGTTTCTAACTCTCTATCTCTCTCCCTTCCTCTCTGTAAAAAATCAATAAAATATATTTTTAAAAAAAAAGAATGTATTTTCTTAGTATATAACGTTGGTCACATTAGCTCTAAGAGAAAATCAATGTATGTAAATGCACAGGCATAGAGGTACATATACATTGATATCTAAAACAGTCTAAGTTATAGCTCTATGTGATTGCAGTGATAACTGAATGGGAATATTCTCTCTCTCTTTTTAAGTGACTCACTGCAAACTAAAAACAAAAATTTCATCTTGTTTTGTTTCTTGGACTACTTGCCCTAGAAGGATTTTCAGCTTCAATTTTCAAAGGTATTTAGCAGAATCTTTTGAAAACTATAAATGAATTCTTTACCTTTGTTCAACTTTGACCATTTACGTGCCACTCTGTAATGAACTGATAATAAGCAAGTAATGCTAGGCTATGAACAATCAATCTTACAAAAAAAAAAAAACAACCATACATTTTCGGGAAATCAAAAAGTTGGACGGTCTAATAAAAATTAAATAGCATCTTAGTGATAGACACACTAAGATGTCCTTGAAAACAACTACTTTCAAAGAACAGCAACCAAAAGAAAGCATTTGGCTAGGACAAAGGTTTGCAATCAGAGATTTTTCCCTAAATACCCTCCCTGCAGCACACAAATCAGAATCAGCACTGTCTGTCTGCCTCTCACCCCTGACCTGTCCATGTTCCTCACCAGAGCCCAGAACACCTCTAGCAGAGGGATGCAGAAGACAAGGGGAGAAGGGGCAGCTCACCTCCCTGACTTTCTCAATGGCGTTGGTGAAGATGTAAATGATAACGAGCCACTCCTGCACACTGGGCTGAGGCTGCATCTCCACCAACACAGTGAAAGTGAACAGCATGAGGAACGCCAGATACGCCATCTGTGAGGGGGACACACATTCCCTGGACGTGAGTCATGGTCGTAATAGAGGAGGCCGAGCAGACATGGGCTGAGCTGGGCAGATACACACATGGGACCTTCAATGAGATAACGTGAAAATACAACCGGGACCACCCTCTGGTTATTGATAACCTAACATCGAGGAAAACACAAGAATCCAGCTATCTATTCTAGGATTAAGTGACAGGTGTGAAAGTCATTGTTTTCAAATGCATGGGAAGGGGTCACTGTCTTGTCCTGTGAGCTTCTGACCAGAATTTCTGGAACACTGCACATTCCAGAATGGGCATTTTCAGGCTAACAGCAAGCCCAGACTGACTCACACACCTTCCCCTCCATTTAAATATAGAAAATGCGTGTATGCCAACCACACCAAATGAGTAGTGTCAGTATGTGCCTATTTCCAAATATAATACATCATGGCATTTACTACTGCTGGGAGTTTTACTTTATGTTGATTAAAACATTCCGGTTAGTGGAAAAGTATTGTCCAGCTTTAATTACATTAAAGACTGTTGATGTTTTTGATTTCAGCACTTGACCTGACACAATGGTAGACATTCAAGAATATGTTTAATTACTAACTGGGTATATTAAACATAGATTTCCAAACTCTTCAAAAAATTAAAATACAGTAAACACACACATACATATGTACTAGTGATAAGAGCTTTGTAATCTTTTCCAACATTTTACCTTAATATATATTCCCAGAAGTAAAAGAGCTGAGCACACACATTTAAAACTGACACGTTACCAAATTGCCTACCAGAAAATTGCTATGATCACTAACAATGAGATGGGGCAGCCCTTTATATAGCTTCAGAGACAATACACAATGCTAACTGATCAACACTTATATTAAAAATCCCAGATAAGTAGAGAGAAAAATGGGTGTATGTGGGTGTTTGTTCATCTCACAAGAATCATCCTATTTTTAACTTACATCCCTATTTATAATATCTTTTTTACTAGTAGCTCCACCTAAGCTTTATCAGTCTTCTAAGTTTAGTTCTACATAGAGAACAGTTGAAACCACTTTTGATTTACAATAGTGATAGTATATACCAGTGGTTCTCAACCTTCTGGCCCTTTAAATACAGTTCCTCATGTTGTGACCCAACCATAAAATTATTTTCGTTGCTACTTCATAACTGTAATGTTGCTACTGTTATGAATCGTAATGTAAATATCTGATATGCAGGATGGTCTTAGGCAACCCCTGTGAAAGGGTCGTTCGACCGCCAAAGGGGTCTCGACCCACCAGCTGAGAACCGCTGGTATATACAATAGGTGGTATTTTAGGCAGGCCTATGATATTACTGCCTATGAGCTCAAGAGCTATAGTAGAAATGCCTATTAAAGTTAAGGTAAAGTCTATTAATTCTATATTTCGCTGGGTCTCTGTCTCCAAGTCTGAATATGTTTGATGACCTCTTAGGGATGTAAGATAATAAATTTGTTCTATCAAGCAGTTATTTTTTACATTTTAGTCATTATTTCATGGTGGTCAGATACTGTTGATTGTGATATTGGTGGTATTGCTTCTGACTCTTTCTCTTCCAAGTTTTTAAAAAATATGTAAAAATGTTTACATTTTTGCTTTTTCATCATAACATTTATAACAAGACACTGTTTGAATAAAGCACACACGCTGTAACCTAGCATAGCAACCTGACAGCCAAGAATAAAATTCCCGTGCTCACCATTGGTTATGGTGGGAAGATGTGGCTGGCTTATTTGTTCTATTTGTTAGCAGTTTTTTTGTTGTTGTTCTATTTGCTTTGCTCCTGTCTCTAAGAGTTCGTAAGCTGTGAATTTCTAAGGAAAGAAATATTTGAATACTCTTTCTCCAATGATGTGGCTATGGTTAAAATTCTCTCAGAGCTACTATCAGAGTCTCTGGGATATTTTATTTCATATTCACAAAAATGGTGAAATACCATTTGAAAGAGATTTGACTTTGAAAAACAGATGAAAGTCATTCAGAGTTATGTCCTTACTCAATAATTATATAAAATCCATGTGCAGTTGAGCAAGTAAAGATTTTGAAATATAATACTTTAAGCAAAAAATAAATAAATAAATAAAAATAAAAAATAAAAAAATTAAATTTAATTTAAAAAAAGATTAAAATTTTAAAAAAAAGATTTTGAAATATAACACATTAAGGCAAATATCCTTTTACAGTCCCAATTCAAATGTTTTAAATTTTGGCCATGAGCAATTTATGTATAAATAAGCATTAGAAAAATAATGCTATTAAGTAAAAGTTAAAAGCAATCAATACATTGAAAGTACAGGTCAGGCTTTCTCTGTATCTCTGTCATCCATAACAGGTTTTGTATTTGTTCATACAATTAACCTTCTACACTTTTACTGTTCTCTATATATTTACAAGCATGTCTTGAAGGAAAAAAAAACCACACTTGCATTTTCTAGATTACACACTATTCCTACAGGGAAAAAATCGACTGAACTGCTGACTTTTTTGCTCCAGCTGGGGAAAAGAATCCACCTCGCCACCGTGGTTAATCGTATTGTGCCACTAAGCTTGACATGCTCAGTCCCGGCCTGCCAATGGGACGCACTCAGCACTTGAGAAAGAACATGCTTGTTCCCTCACTCCCAAAGTGGGAGAGCTCTGTGCTAACTTTTACCCACCTCCCTCCAATCTTCTTTTCTACTCTTTGGTCCTTCCTCCCCACCCCCTTTTTTTACTGCAATTCTAGATTTTATCACAAGTTGACAAATCAGGCATATCACCAATGTTAACATTAGGGATTAACCATCATAAATTGTTACGATGAAACCAACCGTATAAAACCAAAACTTGACAATTGGAGCGCTGTAGAACTCATAGACCTTCCTGGTCAAGGGAAGGGTCTGGGGACCACTCCTGACAACAAAGTGATGGTTTTCATCTAGCTTCTCATCAGGGCCCCGCTCCATATCACAGTCTTTCTGTAAAATAAACGAATAATTTATTGTCAGGGGCTTATCTAAAATATGAGCATACTCAAGTATCCAAAAAAAAGATCATAAACATATGTAATAGACATATCAGAAATTAACTGGGCACCCACCTGCCAAATTATAATCTTCATCTTCAAAGGAAAGGAAAGTACATGTATTAGATAAGTCTTTGACCAGGTAAGGAACACAGGGTATTCCTGAAATGCAATCTGAGTCGCTAATAATCAAACCTACTCAAAGTTAGGGTAGTAGCAAGGATTTTTTTAAAATATATTTTTATTGATTTCAGAGAGGAAGGGAGAGGGGAGAGAGAGATAGAAACATCAATGATGAAAGGGAATCATTGATCAGCTGCCTTCCACACACCCCTACTGGGGATCAAGCTGGCAGCCCTGGGTATGTGCCCTTGACAGGAATCGAACCTGGGACCCTTCAGTCCACAGGCTGACTCTCTATTCGCTGAGCCAAACCAGCTAGGGCAGTAGCAAGGATTTTTAAATGGTCCCTGTTCCTGTTCCATTTAGTCTCCTTTATCAGTATTTGGAACCATGGATATTCATAAAATTCCCACAAAATCAATAACCAATAATATAATTATTTTCAGCCTATAGGAGGGCAAAATTGACAATCCCTGATAACACATCTGTTCCAATTCCTAAGAAAGTTGGATGCTGAGTTAGTTTCGGGATTCTGGCTTTGAGAGCTTCTCCACTCCTTTACAGCAAAGGTTCTTTCCCTGAAGTTCATGGACCCTATGAACTTCATGCAAGTATTTGTTTTGTACATGCATTTTTCTAGGGAAAGCACCAAATCTTTCATCATTTTCTCAAAAGGTGTGTGTCAGCCCGAAGGGATTAGCCCTGCAGGTGATGAGTAATATGTATCTGTGTGGCAGAGAAGTGTTTGTGTGAAAAGTGACTATACAGGTGCCCACACAGGAGAGCCTTTAGAAATAGGGGCAAAAAGAAATAAAAAGAAAAAAGCACCTGCAGCCTGGTTGCTTTTGAAAAGAGGAAATTCAGGGAAAATGAAAAAGAAGCCAACGAGATTTCACCCCCACTCTATAGAGTTTTGTGTGGTTTTAATTTTTAAGCAGAAAATGCATTACTTTTGTGATTTTTTTAAAAATTAAAAAGAAATGCTATCCAATGCCTCTCAGACTAGTACATTTCTTCAATCCATCCACAAAAGATCTCTCTCTAGCGTTAGATCCGCAAGATCAGCAATTTTTCAAGCTAAGAAATAAATCACGTTTTGCCTGTTGTCCATATAATTGCAGGGAAATGTAATTTTGAGGCTTCAGCATCTAGAAGGGTTATGTCAATGCCTGATGTGAGTGTCATTCACGTCACTTTTGGCAGGAGAAATGGGGTTGTAATTTAGAGGTGCAGGAACAGACCTGGTTCCTGACAGGTCTGAACCAGCCCACAGTTAAAATGGCTTAGAACATATTACAAAGTCATCATTTACTATGATTTTTATGACATCACTACCACTGCAGAAAGACCCCAGAAAGCAATTTAAATAATGACCTTGTTATTAACTTCCCTTACTATTTTTTCCAGGAGTGTTTCATTAGGTCTTTAATTACTCTTGGCATTTTGATATGGATTATGAAGTACTAAGTGATCCTAACTCTGAGCTGGATTCAAAGATGTCATCTTCTATAACAACAACAAAACAAAAAAACATGAGAGTATAAATTTAAATTCAGGACTTTTTTTCCCTTAGAATAGGTAAACACCAGAATATTTTTCTTACCTTTTATTCTATTCAAATCTCAATCTCAATCTCTCTCTCTCTCTCTCTCTCTCTCTCTCTCTCTCTCTCTCTCCCCTCGCCCATCATCCTCTCTCCCTCTTCTCTTCTCTCTCAAATAGGAATCTGATACCAGCAAACACACAGAATAAATTTATAGCTACAAAAATAAGCTCCACTACAATTCATGCCTACTTTCTACTGTATTACAGTCACCATTCCCACTTAATGATGCTCTGATAAAAATACATTATTATTCAATTTTTAAAAATAGTTTTGTGATTCAGCAATATGTCTGAGACTAAGCTCATCTTTCCTCTTCAAAACCTGCTCTTTTCCCAGTCATCCCTAGATCACTCTAAAGATGGTCTTGTTTTAACCATCAACATCTCAGTAATATTTGCTATCTCCCTCTTGCCCAGGTCCCATGTTCAGGCCCTATTTGACCCTTCGTTTAAAATCTGTCTTTTCTTCTCCACGCCCATTGCTACTAACCCTGGATAAAACCCTTATTACTTCTCACCTGGATGGTCACACTAGCTTGTTCTCTCCCTGCATCCAGTAGTCTTCTTGCTGCATCATCCTACACACTGGAGGCAGAATAATTTTCCTAATAGATCACCTTGCCACTCTGGTCATATACGGTCACTGGCTCATCATTACCTACAGAATAAGAACCATATTCCTTCATAGGATATGCAACAGTCTCCATGATCTAGCCTCACGCTGTCCCAGCCACACCTGCAAATATCCCCTCCTTGTTCCACGTCCACCATAACCTGGATTCTAACCACACCACACAACTTATGATGCCTGACATACACCTTGCAAGTCCTGCCTCTGGGTCCCTACTTGTAGTCTCCCTCCACTGAAATGCTGTTTTCCCTCTCCATATCCTCAAGTCACAGTTCAAACACTACCTCAATCATGAGGCCGCCTGCAGATATGGGATATTTTGCTTAATTATACATGGGAGTTAATTAAATTTATCATACATACAATACTTGGCCATTCTATAATGTGATTGTTAAATAAATAAAATTGGTGCATATGTGCACTGTGTGCAGTCAATACCATGAGAACTCAGTTTACGACGACAGTGCACTAACCATACAAGCATTCTCCTCGGTACTGCTGGGGTTCTGGTCACCATTATGCCATGTAAACTGGAAATCCTGGGACTGGGGAACATGGGACATCTCCGCTTTGCTTTTAAATTCCAACGTCAAAATGGTGGGTGGTAAAAGAATACTTATGATGATCTTTAAAAGAAAACAAAGCAGAATACGTAGTAGGGATTAAAAAAGGCACAGTATTATTCAAATAACAAAATTAAGATTTTAGTGTATATAAAATGTCAGACCCATGACCAATTCAATTGATATCCTGATTCTATACATACTTTTTAACTCAACAATTCCAATTCTAGAAGCAACTCCTCGGAAATACTCATGAATGCATATATGGATAGAGATGTTCGTGGTAGGGTTATTTGTGATAGGAAAAAACTGATGTCAACATAAATGTACACCTATAGAGGGGAGCTGGTGTGGGACAACCTAACAGTGAAACACCATATAACCATTAAAAAGACAAAAGCAATTCTGAGTATGATGAAAAGGTATCCAAGTTATATTAGGTGAAAAAACCAAGTAAAAGAACAATACAGCATGATTCCATTTTTGTAAAAAAAAAAAAGACAAAATATATATGCATATACATATATTCATTTAAAGGTTTTAAAATACATATATAATAATCCCCCGTATCCACAGTTTCACTTTGTTTACCCACAGTTAACCATGGTTGAAAATATTAAATGAAAAATTCCAAAAATCAAACAATTTATAAGTTTTAAATTGCATACCATTCTGAGTAGCGTGATGAAACCTCAAAATATCCCCCTTTGTCCCACCAGGGACATGAATCATCCCTTTTTCCACAAAGAGGAATCTATGTGGAATAATTTATGACTGACTTTTATCTTATTTCTGCAGTCTCATTAGTGGAATTAAAATGTGCAAGCTCTTCATTATGCTAAGTGAAACAAGCCAGTCAATGAAGGAAAAATACCACATGATCTCACTCATTCATGGATAATAAAGACCATTACAAACTTTTGAACAATAATAGATACAGAGGCAGAGCTGCCTCAAACTGATTGCCAAACTGCAGTGGGAAGGCCAGAGAGAGTTGGGGGGCAGGAGGGAGGGGAGTAAGAGATCAACCGAAGGACTTGTATGCATGCATATAAGCATAACTAATGGACATAAGACACTGGGGGGTAAGGGAGGGTAGGGGTGTGTCAAGGGCGGGGGGGAAAAAAAGGACACTTATGTAATACCCTTTGTAATACTTTAAGCGAAAAATAAAAAAATATTAAAAAAAAAAATGTGCAAGCTCTTTTACATATTTTATATCTTATATCTTTTATTTCTTTGTGTTCTCTATAGTGTATCCACCAAAAAAATATTTTTAAGAACAGTCATTCTATTTGGGAAACACCATATTTTTAAGATCTGTAGGAAGAATAAAATTAAAATATAAAATATAGTCTTACAGCGCTCTTAATGCTCAGGCTTTATCCCTTTTTTCAGTTTCATAAGCACATGCATTTCTTTTTTAAAAATTTATTTTTTTTATTGATTTCAGAGAGGAAGGGAGAGGGAGAGGGAGAGACAGAAACATCAATGAGAATCATTGATTGACTGCTTCCTGCATGCCCCCTAGTGGGGATCAAGCCCAAAACCAGGCATGACCAGGAATCAAACCATGACCTCCTGGTTCATAGATTGACACTGAACCACTGAGCCATACCGACTGGGTAGCACATGCACTTCTTAAGCTTAACCATAATCTAAAGCTATAGGCTTAGGTTTAATGTCAAAAGTTAAATGTCTTTAGTAGTTAAGCAATTACTCTTGATAATTCAAGATGAGAGATGAGGCCAAACTGTAATAGAACAGAAGAATTTGGAGATAGTGGTGTGAACAAGTGTATTTGAGGGCACCTTTATAAAACAGCCATTTATTCCCTGAAAAATCACATTGAATGAACAGAATAACAGAAACTGCTAATTTCATTTAGGTTATTATCAGTTGCTATTCTGAAGCTGAGCAAAATTTCACTAAAAAAAATCTCATTTATTTCTGTTGTAATTATCAGCGACAGCAGTTTGCTACTAATGTAATCTTGCATATGTTTGCATATGTTTTTAACATCTTCTAGCCATCTTCGTGAGTATGCCTTTGTGATGGGACAGAGCTAGTACGATTATCACACTTTTTAAGAGAAACTGTGGTCATAGGAGACAAAGCAGTTGTCAGGTCTCAGCTCATCTTTAAGAATCAATGCTATTAACTGGTTTTCTGAAGATCTTCTTCTGGAACAAGGAAAAAAATGAACCCAAGAGTACAGACCTTCAGACAAAACTAATATTAAATTCTATAAAGCAAGTGAAGGTACCTTTAACCAAGAGATCTTCCTCATTTTCAGGCGCCCCATCCACATGTCCGTCAGTAGCATTTGGGTGCAAGTATGTGAAACAAAGGGCCGTAGCCCTCCGGACACGGCCAGTTTCAAACAAGTAGAATTGCTCCAGTTCTTGAGTTCATAGGTCAGCAGCTTCATGGCCATTCTCTCATTCTGCTTGAATGCCTTTTCCAGCACGTCCAAGGCAAGCTGGCCAAACTGCCTGTAAGGACACAGTGGTGAGTGACCAAAACAAATGCAGGTGAGAAGCCCGGAAACATTCGAAAAGATAAGATCAGAGACTCAGAAGAGAGGAGACAGCAATTTAATGATCTCAGTTTGCAGAAGTGATTGTAAAGGGATTGCCGCTCAGGAAATGGATTGTTGTCCCTTTCTTGAAGGAACAGAACCAGAGGGCTTACTTCCATGTGGCAGAGAATCTGTCCACACCAGGAGTGCCTGAGCTATGCCTGGAAGAAGCCACTTCACACCACAAAACAGGCAACACAGAGCTTGGTGAGGGCTCCCTGATAAGACCTACTAAAGAATTTTTTACGGAAAATACTGTTCAAAACTGGCTAGCAATTAAGGGAAACTGTGGAACTACTTTTTAAAAAAGATTTTATAAAATATATAGATGACTTCAGAAAGAACCAGACCTAGAGACATTTTTTCTGGAATTTTCTGGAAGGTTGTTTTCACTGAAAAGTAGACACTGTCATTCTCTGGAACTTTTTAAATCAAAATTATAAATGTGTTTCTATTAACTTCAGCTTCCAGTTTCCTCACTACTATAATGCTTTCATAATAAAAAAAATGAAAAAAACATTTCTAACCTTTCTATCTTCCAACATCACACTCTGGTTCTTTAATATATAATACATTTATTTGTTTTTCTGCCTGAGAGATACTTAAAGTAAACCACAAGTTTGAATTTAACTTAGTATCCAAGAGTTTGAGAGTTGAGAGGGACTTTCTAAATCATTAACTGGACATTTTGCAATAAGGAAACTAAAGTCCCAAAATCTACTCAACTGACTTGCCCAATTAGTAGACAGCTGCACTAGAATTAGAACCCAAGGCTCCTGACTTGAAGTTCCATCTCTCTTCCCTTTCTTCCACAAAGCTGCTTAAAATACCTAAAAACCTTATTTATAGGATAGTGCGTGAAATGCCAGGGCAACAGGTCCACTCATCTCACAAGTTCTAAGGTGAGGGAGATAAAAGTGTCTAACCGTTCTAAGAACTGTCGATGTTTAGTATGTAGTGAAGAGAGAACTCCTACTTTGAGTAATTTTTCATCTCTTCCGAGGCATCATCCACCATGTTGCTCTCCTTAGCCTCACGGGCCATGGCTCGGTAGAGTATATAAGCAATCACCGCCTTGACCATGGCCTCCACTCCGTGCTGCCAAAAGAACATGGCCATCTTCTGCCTTTTCATCAGCACAGCCCAAACCAGCAGGTCATTGTAAGGGTAAATAAAGCCAGTAGACTCAGGGTCATCGGATATATTTTGTTCTTTTGACTTCTTCCTTGATTTATGAAGGACTATAGGCTTTTCCTGTTGGGAAATAAAATAGGAACGGTTTCCAAATACTCACGTACATGATGTTCTACCTAATGAAACAAGTCAGGTATCCTAGAGATGGAAATAATAATAATAGAACTTTAGATCCCACATATAAGTGAAATCATATCGCATTCTAAAGAACAATATAAACAAACAACAGAAATAGGCTCACAGATACAGAAAACAGAAAGATGGTTGCCAGAGGGGAGGGAGAGCTGGGGGGCTGGGTGAAAAGGGTGAAGGGATTAAGAGGTGCAAATTGGTAGGTACAAAACATTCACAGGGATGAAGAGTACAGCATAGGGAATATAGTCAATAATATTGTGATGTGTGGGGCCAGGTGGGTACTGGAATTATCGGGGAGGAACGCTTTGTAAAGTGGTTGTCTGACTACTATGCTGTACACCTGAAACTAATACAAAGTAAAACTGAATGTAAACTGTAATTTAAATAAATAATTAATTGTCAAGAGCAGTTAAAAAATATAATAGAACTTTATAAACCAGAAACCAAAACTTTGGCCTCTAAAGTAATCTATTGCTTGTTGTATCTAATAGTTCCAGGGTCCCTAAGCTGAGATACGATAAGTTCATTTAGTACAACTTAAAACACTACACCTTCGGAACAGAGCCATTGAATATGTGACGACTTTTAATTTCCCAAGGAAATGGGTTGAAATAACAAACTGGATAAGTGGCAACTATTACAAAAAAACCCTCTAGCCCTAACCGGTTTGGCTCAGTGGATAGAGTGTCGGCCTGCAGACTGAAGGGTCCCAGGTTCGATTCTGGTCAAGAGCATGTACCTTGGTTTCGGGCACATCCCCAGTACGGGGTGTGCAGGAGGCAGCTAATCAATGTTTCTCTCTCATCGATGTTTCTAACTCTCTATCCCTCTCCCTTCCTCTCTGTAAAAAATCAATAAAATATATTTTTTTAAAAACAACTCTAACCTCACCTGACAAATGATTCATATCCCCTTAGAAAAATGTCATTAATGTTGCCAACATGCATCCAAATAGATTGGTTTTACGTTTTCTTTATTCTGATTATATTCCTCTAGTGAGGGGAATGGGTAATGATGAAATACTGTTCTCCACCTGGTAAACCCATCATTTAGAGCTCATTTCAAATGCTGCTCTCTAACCTGCCATGTTCATCTGTAACACTGTGCGTGTGTCTCAATAGCAATGTCCATCATACTGCAGTATGGATATTACTTTGGGGCGGGGAGGATCATTTCTCAATTATCATTATATTTTTCCTAATCCACTTGCAGTCCAAATTCAACCAAGCACCCAACATAGTGCCTGGAAACTAATAAGATTCAATAATTCTTTTTTATTAAATTGGGGGGGTTAATAGCAAAAATTATAACAAGCTTCCTCTATTTCTACAAATAAAGTTTGTATTCGTTGATGATAATTAAGGGTAATTTTATTTTAAAAGATTTTCATTCTAGGAGCTGTGGACAGCAAATCTCTTTCAGCCAATATAGGAACCATTTATATGGAAACTCTTGAGCAACGCATTCATCCCCAGAGGCAAGTGGGACTGAGGTTGTATAGCAAGAGGGAGAATAACCAAAAAAAGAGGGAGGGAAATAACAATGTTGTGTACATGCGCGTGGGCGCACACATTACCATTTTCATTCTGTAACATTAAGCTAAAATTAACTTTAAGAAAGCCTCAAAGGGGAAAAATTAAGATGCGAAAGAATAATCAAAGAGAGAAGTAAAGGAGAAGGAAGTAGTCATATCCAATTAGCCGCAGGGAAAGGGTATGAGGGTTTGGTGTTGGGTTAACAATTACATTTTTCATACCATCCCATGGACTGCCTTCCTGAGTCACCATCCGGACCAGGTGGCAGTAGGGACAAGGAAGACAGGCTGATGTGCCAACCCCGGGTATTCTTTAGTTCCCAGTGCTCTGTCCTAGGCCTTTGCTCATTGTTATAAGGCAGCTCCGTTATGCTTTAATTTGCACCATCTGTTTATGGTACTTGTTAATGGGTCCTTTTTTTGTATCTCCCTTTCTCTAATGTTAACCCCTTGAGTGCCGGGGAGCGCGATCGCGCTCCTCCTGTCTTTCGCCAAAAGTGCCGGGAGCGCTATCAAAGCTTCGAAATGGCGTCCAGTTCTAAGTCTGCTTTTATTAGTGATGATGATATTGCTAAATATGTCAATGTAGTAAAGGTTTCCTTAAGTTTTTGAATATGTAACTTCATTTACTTGCGATTCATAATTTTTTTTCCTAAACTGCTGTAAAATCAGCAAAAATGCCTTGGCAATTTTAGCACAGTTCCTAGGATATTGGTCGGCACTCAAAGGGTTAAAGGAAGAAATGGTCTCAGTAGGCAAGAACAATTTTCTTTTCAAACCTAAAAATAAGTAACAGTACCTTGAGTTTGTAAGGCTGGGCGGTTCTGATGAACTGGGAATGCAGCGTGCTTTCTGCAGATTCCTTTCTATTTCCTGAGGCACATCTCCCGGGAGCAGGGGGCTGGGAAAGGCTCTCAGCAAAGCTGGTCACTCTCTGGCATATAGTATTTTATTTTTAAAATTTAAAAAAAAGGGAAAAAAGAAGATTATAATGATGACAATTAACATTGTATTTCTAGGCAGTAATGAAAACCAAATATACTATTGTGTCCTACCAAATACCCCATGGTATTCTCTCATCCGGGATTAATAAGTAATCATTAATCAGATTAATTACTCGCTGACCCAAAAAGAGCCTCCCATGATCTCCTTCTTATTAAGGGCGCTGTTATTTCCTAACACCTTAGGAAACGTGCTCTTTTGTTCCCTATTATGGATCTGCATTCCTTCTCAATGTGGAAATTCCATTAGAAATCAATGGATGTTCCATACCTGGAACAAGCTCAGAATAGGCAATAAAGATACACATTTCTGATAAGGAAAAGTCCCCACTCACAAACAGCTGCCAGGTTAAGGTTAAGTTAGGAAGTTGTGGAATCTCTCCACGTGTTATATAAGATCGCCACCGGAATTCCAGTGGCTCAGCACAACAACAAAACTCATTGCATGAACCTTTAATCAATGAGAAAGAAAAACAAAGAGAAGCATTGGTAAAAGGACAAATATAAAGTTTATGGTACAAACCCTAGGCTTTGAACTATTTTATTTATTTTTAGTTTCTGTTTTATGGATATAAATTAGACATAAAAGTGATGGGGTGAAGACTTTTTAAAGATAACACTCAACTTATTATTATTGTGATAAAGAATTAATTAGGATCATCAGTGATAATCATGAGAATTATTAACAGTTACTCGATATCGGCTATAAAAAAAAACTAAAAATATGGGTTTTTCAGTTATTGATTTATTTAGTCCTTTGGATAAATTTACAAAAGGAGTATTGTTATTCCCCTTTTATAGATAAGGAAACTGGCACACAGAGAAGTTAAGTTTCTTGCTCAAGATTACACAGCTACTAATGAGCAAAACAAAGATTCAATTCCAGATCTCTCTGACTGCAAATCATGTATTTGTAACTCCATGATCTAATTTATGAGGCAACACAATAAACTCAGTACTTCTTCACTAGACAAGAATCAGAGAAATGGGTCATTTCTAGAAAGGGCACTAGGACAGGTGCCTCGCCTGCTCCCCCCTGGACTGCACCAAGGCCACAGTCAGTCCTGGTACCTGCCACTGGTAGCCACACAGCAAGCTGTAGTTTGTTTAAATGAAGGAGCTGACACCTCAAGTGTATCCCTATGCTCTTGAAATTTCAATAAAGAACATTTTCTCTGTGCACACTGGGTTTGTTTTGGTTTTGTTATTTCATTTCCTAAAGCCAAGTTGGGCTTTCATGTCACCTAATTCTTTATGAATAAAGGTCAAAAGAAACCTTGGGTAGCTTGATATTCTGGACTCTTCACGTGATCTTAGTCCCAACTTACCTTCCCAGTCTCATCCCTCACCACCTGCTGGCACTTCTCCAATGACAAAGGTCTCCTTTTCACTGCAAAAACATCCCCTGACGTCCACAGCCCTGTGCCTTTCACTGTCTCTGTTCTTCTCAAAAATGCCCTTTTCCTAACATTTCAATTAGCCTCTAATAAAAATTAGTCTCTTCAGTTTACTGCTCTGTAAAGGCAGTTTCAAGAAACAAGCAATGTTTTCTCTGTTAGCCAGTCTGATTTCACATTCCTAGACTTTTAAAACTATGATGAAAAATATGTGTTTTTAAGTACATTCTGCATGCATCTTTCAATACAATCCCCACACTTGTCCCAAGTTTGTCACCTCCAGACTATGGACTACTGTGAGTTTATAGATCGAATCCCATTAAGCTTTAGACTTCTGGATTTTCAAAAGAGACAGAAGGGAAGGAAAGAACTGGTCATCTCTCCCCCTAATCTTTCTCATCACATTACTTCTGTGTCAGGATAGCACATATTCTAATCTGTTCTGTATCATGGCTAGTTATCTATAAATCTTTTCCCTCTATGACTTTCTAAACTCCTAATCGTTATGTCCATCCCAGGCCAACATGCCAGCACAGTACCTCACATACAGCAAATACTCAAAAAATGTTGATGCACAGAATGCCCATTTTAGGAGCTATTCCCATCTGAACTTCCCAAGCCACTTTTATGAGCTATCCGTAATTTTACTAGGGTCTTTTCAGTTGTGCTACCTTGTGTTTTCTGTAGAGATTGTAGAAGGCTCTGAAATTTTTTCTAGTGTAGCTGCTGCGGTACGCTCCACCAATGAGGTACTCTATTACCAATCCAATGTCAATCAGTGTTATTCTGTAGCCTGAAAGAAGGGTATGCTGAAACAAAACATATAATCAGTTATAACTTTCAGTTCTCTTTCCCTACTTTTCCATGCCATTAGAGCATAACCAAATCAACTGCAAAGAGATAGAGCCATACTTTTCAATCATTTTTACAAACTTATCAATTAATATGACCAGCTATTGATACAAACTCCTTGTTGAGATGGGAAAGGATACTTAGCTTTAATATGGTTTTAGTTTTGTAGACACTGAATGTCTGCTTATATCTGCTCCTTTTCTCTCTCATGCATGCACATACTTTAGAATAAAATACATTTAAGCATAGTATTAAAAATCGTTTTTAAGTGGAAATAACATAACGACTACAACAGAAGTAATATTACTGGAAGATATGTTGAATGTATGTGATCAAAAATTAACAATAGGTTAAATCTTCAGCCTCTCTCTTTATGAAAATGGCTATAAGACTTTGCATTGTGCTGACAACATCATACGCAAAACAAGAATACGGAAGGAAGTAGAACACATAGAAGTAAGAAACATGGAATGGCAGAACCAAATGAGATGTCCAAATATAAGGCTGTGCCAAGACAAATGTTATGGTTGGTAGGAGAGCCTAGCAACAGATTTCTAAGTACCTGGATCTTAGTCTAAATGAAACTTATTTCAGCCCCTAAAAACCCACCTTCAAAAATGTTATTTCTGAAGTGTAATTCACAGGACACTTTTAAAGACACACAGAGCACTGAACAAGCTCTCTGTGGCTAACGTTCATGAGGCACTGAACAAAAAATAAGGTGATATATATGTATATATGTAAATACGTAAATGATTTAATTTCCCTTTTTCACATTCATAATTTATGTTTTTCAAGAAACAATAAAAATTATGTTCTTATTTGCTGCAAGGTTAGAGCCTATTTAACCTGTTGCACTCCTTTTTTTTTTCAGTTTACTGTGACAGAATCCAAGTTTAAGGAAATAATCCAAGGAGAAGCATTTTGATCTATCACAAATCGATGCAAACTAAATTTACATCGGCACAGACACTTTTGCTTACTACTAATTTGACAGCTAAATGTCTTCTTCTGCATCCTTTCCCTCTGGCTCTCCCACCACGTCAATATAACCAGAAAGCCTATACTCGCTCCATCAAGGAATTAGATCTCAGAAAAATGTGGAAAGAACTTTTCAAGCTCATCGTGGATGGATATTAATCATGGTGACAAATAAAAGGCACTCCCAGTGTTCTGCACATGGGAATAAAAGTTCCTAGTAATTAAAAGAGAAGGAATTAAGGCATAAACATCTGTTAAAGTTGAGAAGTTTTGGTAAGTAATGGGAGAGATTATTTTAAATCTGACTTCAGCCCTAACCAGTTTGGCTCAGTGGAGAGAGCATCAGCCTGTGGACTCAAGGGTCCCAGGTTCGATTCAGGTCAAGGGCATGTACCTTGGTTGCGGGCACATCCCCAGTAGGGAGTAAGCAGGAGGTAGCTGAATCGATGTTTCTAACTCTCTATCCCTCTCCCTACCTCTCTAAAAAATCAATAAAATATATATTTTTAAAAAATCTGACTTCACTCAAAGGTCAATAAAAATACCATCAGCAAATTATGAGGAAGGGAACAGAGCAATGGGGTTCATCCTAGTCCTCTAGAACAATGCTTAGACTTAAAAAAAGAAGTGAGGGCCTCCAAGCCATCACTAAGGTATCATTAATAGTCAAAACAATAACAAAAACAACAGAAATCACATGTCCAGGAAGTGTATTTTTAACAGATATTATTATCATCATTGGCAATACTGCTGTACCACATTGAGCTCTAGTTCTGATTCGAAGTTTTATGTGTCTCTGATCGATATTTTATGATAATAATTATTATTAATTAATTAATACTTGGTGGATCAAATCTTTTAAAACACAGAGTAAACTTATAAAAGTATGCTTTGGTGATGAAATTGTTCAGTCACTAGTAAAGAGGGTAGGGGTAGGTAATTCACTAGAAAATCAAAATCTACATTTTACAGAGCAAAACCTGGTGAAACCTCCATCAAAACCTAAGGCAATGCATAAAGAAATGTGCACAAATTCGTAACTAGGTTACCTGTTTTACATCTCGGACAAGATGATGCAAGAGCATATTAGTAGGTCCTTGTTTCTGTAATAAAGAACAAAAGAAAGAATTTTAATTGCCTTTTCATTACGGGGGGGGGGGGAGACTTTATTTCAGAATGCATAAATAATCCAGAATACTGAAAATTTTCTTTTAACATCTTTAGGAATGCAGCTTAAGCCACATTAATTCTAAGGAAGATGTTTCCCAAGAGAAGATGTAATTAGATTGAAATACTTTTCAAAGCAAGATGTATGTGTATAGGTAGGTAGTAAGGACTTAGCTTTATGTGACAAGAGACAGAAATTAATTTTAGCTAATTTGTAACTACTCTTTAACATATATAAACCACACAATTACTTTCCATCAACAAATATTTATTGAACCCTTACTATGTTCAATCAAGCTTCTGAGAGAGTCAATGAAAAATGTAAGTACTTTCTTTGCAGAGTTTTTCCCGAATAGAAAAGAATGAGTACTGCCCTAGCCAGTTTGCTCGGTGGATAGAACATCGGCCTGCGGATTGAAGGGTCCCGGGTTCAATTCCGGTCAAGGGCACATGCCCAGGTTGCAGGCTCGATCTCCAGTAGGAGATGTGCAGGAGGCAACCGATCAATGATTTTCTCTCTCTCCCTCTCCCTTCCTCTCTGAAATCAATAAAAATATTTTAAAAAACCAACTTACACAGAAAAATAACCAACTATATAAAGATGTGTGTGCTCAAGAGTTGAAAATAATTTGTTCTATAGGGACCAGTCAAAAAGACAGAACTTGAATAGGACTTTAAAGAAAGACTAAGATTCAAAGGACAAGGACGGACATTTCAAGAAGGGTGCATAACTCAAGCAATTGGTGTTTTTACAATGAGTAAGCCAGTTTAGTTACAATAAGGGGGTGCATAGAAAAGTTTCAGAAACAGAATTTTAACAGTGGCCTTAAGATGCTTTCAGTATTTCAATTAAACTAATTTATTCCTATTCACATCTGTGGCATTAATTATGATAGTAAGACCATAATTACTACAATATTTTCTTGAGTTAGATTACATCTCTATTCTGTGTAGTTAATGATGGGAAATACAAAAATATCCCTAGGATCAAATGGAATCGGTAAGAATAGTTCTTTGGTTGAAAAGTCTCTCTATAAGCTATATTTGTACATGAACATTCAAGAAGACTTGAACATTCAAGCTAAACCTTAATGTAAATTTTAAAGGAGGAGATTGATAAAATGTTCCAATACTCACTGTATTATAGAGCTCTTCCAGTCTAGGGATGGTAAGAAAGCGATGGAGGTTCACTCCATACTCTATTAAGAGCTTCACAAAATCCACCCGATCCATCACTAAAGCATCTAACATTGCTTGTTCCAGTGAGCCAGGCTTCAGAGGGTAGGAATAAATAAAAGATATAAAGACAATTAAGAAAGTAGAAATAACTTAAAAGACCACGTGTATTTGAGCTCAAAACTATTCCAACATGGTAAATACAAAATACAATCTTCTTTCAGCATCGAATGAAGAAATACTGTAATGAAAAGTGAACCTGAAGATATAAAGGACATACTGAATAAATTTGCTCTTGGGTGGCAAAACTGACTATTATAAAGATCTCAATACTTACCTAATAAAAGCACAGGTTTAATGCAATTCTAATAAAAATATACTTTGTGGCATTTTTTTCTCTTTTTTGGTAACTAGGCACATTTCCATTTAAACTACACCTGGCTTTGGGGTATAAATGATACCCAAAAGTATAAATGGCAATTTAAACACATCCTACCTAAAACTCCATTAAAACTATAGTAAAGGAATTTTTTTTAAAGAAATGAATCCCCTAATACAAGAAAGTAGAGAGTGCAACATTTTCAAAGTTGGAAAGCAGATGGTCAAGTGGTAATTGACTTAGCAGTCTCCAGAAAGCCAGAAAGTGAAAGTCCCCAGAAATTAAAACTGAAAAAAGTCAACAACCAAATAAGCCTATGCCAAAGAATTCTGGCAGCACTGGGATGAAATAAACACACCGATGCTGAATTTCTCATGTTGGGGCCTTCCCACAAAACATCAACTAAGAGCAATCAGGCAATGAGGAAGAAGAAAACTTCTAAAGAACCATCATTAATATCCTCAGAAATAAAAGGAGATATTTATACTCAGGGTGCCATTAAAAAAAAAAAGACAAGGAACAATTTACTCTTAGAAGTTAATGGCCTGCTACCAAAACAAACAAACAAAAAAAAGCTACCTGCAAGGCATGAAAATTAAAGCTGAAGAAATCTACCAAAGAAAATGCACATTAGATAAAAGAAATAAGATAAGATTAGAAGAGCCATGGTCCAACATTTAATTAATAGGAATTCCAGAAAGAGAACAGAGAACACAGAGGAGGAAATTCCCCAGAACAGAAACACCTGATTGCCAAATTGAAAGCACATGTTCAGCATAATGGACCTAAAGACTCAAAATAACACATATATTTGTGAATTCTCAGAACACTGGAAAAACCGGAAGACTTTTTTTAAACTTCCAGAGGAGGGAAAAAAATGGTCACAAAGGATCAGAAAACAAAGATTTTTACTTCTCAACAGCAATGCTGAGTATTAGAAGCTACACATTCAAAATTCCCTAGGAGAATTACTTCCAATCTAGAATTAAAATATATTAAAACATATAAGTCCTCAAAATCTTCTATACTCCCTTTCTCAGGAAGTTACTGAGTTTGGTGAATGATGCACACCACCAAAATAAAGGAGTAAATCAAGAAGGAGGAAGGTAAGAAATACAGAAAACGGATGCTCTGACACAAGAGGTATTCCCAAGACAATAAAGGATGACAGTCCAGCACCAGGAACCGCAGGCAACGAGTCCATACTGAAGCAGTGAGGACCACAGGCAGAAGTGTTGAGCTGTCTCTAAAACTGATGAATCAGAAGACAGCAATATGACTTACTGTAGCAGGCAGTTAGGCATGAGCAGAGCAAGGACAGTGGACCAAGTATGGAAGGTCACCAGAGAGGAAAGTCCCAGGTGCCTAGCAACAGACAGTTGTAGGGTGGGATCTCATCCCCCCGGTAACCTTTCCTCCCCTTTCAATTTCACTGATTATATGGGGTTCGGACCCTCCTCTGAAGTTTCTTCTTGCGTGTCGCTAGTCAGGTGGTCCACCCACTTAGAAGAGGAACAAGGGGTCCAGAGCATAGCCTCATATGACCCCATACAAGCTCTTGCATGACCACTCCCTTAAGCATTAAGACCTCAGGACAGCCCTCAGGGCCGGGTGGCTCAGTTGGCTGGTGCATCATCCCATACACCAAGGTTTTGGGTTCAATAACCGTTCACAGCACATACCTAGGTTGTGGTTTCAATCCCTGGTTGGGGCATATATGAGAGGCAACTGATCAATGTTTCTCTCTCACATCAATATTCCTCTCTCTCTCTCTCTCTCAAAAAATTAATAAGAACATATTGTGTGAGGATTAAATAAAAAAGACCTCAGAACAATGAAGTTCTGACCCGCATCAAATAATCTTAGGAACAAAGCCTCAGGTTTGTTGACCGCAGAGACAGAATTTTGGTCAAACTAGAGATAACATCTGGGCCTCAGTTGTATTTCAACTCCAGGCCCAGAAAAGCAGCAAGGCCAGGTGGAGTAATACCATGGCTGACATCAGGACCAGCTGTGATGACTAATGACTTCCTTCCCTGGTGCTGACCATTCAGTGGAGACCACAACCCTGAAGGGACACACCTGGAAAGCTGATGAATAGTCTATTGAGATCCTCCCCTAGGAACTCCCCTAAAATGCCCACCCTTAAAAGTCCTTAGAACAGAGAAGCCAGCTCAGCTCTCTCTTGAGCATGCCTACGCCTTTTCCCACCCCCATATTTCCCCAGCACACTGAAATCTTTCCCCCTTCCCTTCCCCCAGGCACACACTAGTATATCCTTGCTTTTCCCCTAAGTTCCAAGGGCCCTTCTTTTGCCACTGTAGTTTGTTTCCTGAGCCCTTTTCTTCTACAACTCACTTCTACCTCTGTGACTTCCTAAATAAACTCTCTCTTAAAGTTTGAGTCCTGACTGAACTCTTTCTTAGCCAGAACTCAAGTACGAAGGCTGCTGAACCAAGGTTCGATCTGACTCAACCAGTCTAACACCTGGTGCTGTTTCACCAACATTATTATTTAGAAATATGGAGGTTTATAAGTAACAGATCAGTAAAAAATGTCAAAAGTACTTGGCTCTTGGGATTAGCAGTAAAAAGAACTACTGTGCTTTGTTTTGGTTTTTAGCATCGTTTTGGTACCATTTGATGTTTTAAACAATATGTATGATTAGTTTGATCCCAAAATAATCTGCCTGTCATATGGTAGCAACTGTAATTTTTTAAAAATGAAATGTTAATAGTAATAGTAATTATGATTACCACTACAGGTAATTTTTCTTCTTTTTACTATTCTGTTTTCATTAATTTCTACTATGAGCAATTATTACAATTTAATGCAAAAAATATATAAAATAAACTTAAAGTTTTAAATCCTATATAATAAAAGCATAGTATGCAAATTGTCCCCTCAACGAGAGTTCTTCCTGGAGTTCGACCAGGGGGTGGGCCGGCTTGGGGAAGGGAGGGAGGCCCTGGCACTGGCAGGTGGCCAGGGGAAGGGAGGGAGTACCTGGCTGGCAGCTGGCAGCCAGCAGCTGCTAGGGACCCTACTAGTGCATGAATTTCATGCACTGGGCCTCTAGTAATATAAAAACCTGCCCATTCAAAAAATAAAAAATCCTTCTGATCTGCGTTTCCCCAAACTTTTTCAGCTTCAATTAGGATGTAGGAGCCAAGGAGGGGAGACAATATTTTCAGGGAGGCAGAGTAGGTGAGAGAAATGTTTTTGTGATCCCTGGGCACCTAACTATAGAGATGCTACCTCCACACCCCTCTGAAGCCAATTAATCTCCCCTCCAATTTCCTCTTTCACCCCTACCTAACAAACCAACACAAAATATTTTTCCCAAATAACTTCATTCTCATTATACCTTCCAATGTTGTCCATGTATTAGGATATGTTTCTTGGCAATGTCCATTCTATTCCAAGCCATTGCCAGATTTAATTGTTCAGATGCTGATAAATTTGTGCCTGGAGTAACAGAAAGGAACAATCATATATTATATTTAAAATGTCAACATATGAAGCACACAGTGTCACTGAATATAAAAACAGGAAGTGAGAAACAGGTATAACCCTATCAGACACTCACCTTTTAGCAGAGCTGTTAGGATTGCTAGGTCGAGATCTTGCAACTCCTCAGAATCAGCCTCAAATATGATAATCTATAACAGTTGAAAAACAGAAAGCCATACATTTTGAAAACTAGCAAAGAAATGCTTTCAAGAGTACCCACAAAATTCATGCTCAAGCTAATGAATTGAATAAAACAATCTCCATTAATCACTCAGAGTTTAAATATTTACTTATAGAAGAGAAAATGTCTATGTAGGGTAATGGAGAATTGTGGGCATGCATGGAGAAAAAACAACTAAAAAATCCATGTTTCCTAGAGGAAACTTATATAAAAGAACATTAATTTACTGTACACATGCTATAAAGAAAAGAAACTCAGTTCAGTTCCTTGTGTAAAGGAAATCATTCCTCATTTTAAAGGAATACCAAATGAGATCCTTTTGTTCACTTCGCCTTAGAAACTAAGACTGTTGCTTTTTAATGACAAGTGGATCCTAAAGGATTTGTCATAAAATAAGTGAGGCAATTACAATGCACCCAATGAGCAAGTACAGTGGACAGCACAGGCTGTCATCACAATGTCAAAGTGTCCCGTGCTTCCCAGCATGCGACTAATGTTTTCAAGACAAATAAGGACATTATTTATTACTATACAAGGTCTCCTGATATTAATGAATGTATCTCAGTCTTTCCAAATGAAAATATATTTTATATAGTAGAGGGGGCTGTTCAACAAAAGAGCCTAGATTGGCAAGTTCTAGGCCTACATATGCCACTAACTAGTCAAACTTGGGTCAACATCTTATGACCACTGTATCTGAGGTTCCTCACCCACATAATGAGAGGAACCCTAACCTCCAAGGTCTCATGAAGACAGAAAAACTATGCTTCTACAATTCAGACACTGGTTCCCTCCGCCTTACAGTCCCTCTGTGTGCATGAGTAACATCAAACTTCAATTACAAAGGAGCTGAGAGCCCAATTCCTGTAATGTGCAAACCCTTAGTTGCCTTCTCTAGTTCCCTCTTGGTATTACACCACCGCTCATTGGTAATTTTCCTTGATGACAGGAAGAGGCAAATATAAGGGTGATCTCTTTAGCATGTCCTTTCCTTAAAAAGTGTATAAAATTTCAACTCTGAGCTCAAGTTTCAACTCTACTACTTCATAACTTCATACTCTGAGTAAATCACTTAATTTCTGTAGGCTTCAGCTCCGTCTGAAACTGAAATAAGCAATCACTGCTACACTGAACTCACTTATGGGGCTATTTGGCGTGAAATACACATCTGAAAGCACACTGCTAATTATAGTCATGGTTGTTACTTTTGTTGTTACTAGAACAACTAAAACCCCAGGGCTTTTTCACATATGTTTAGCCATGCTTTGTCTAGCCAGAACTTGTTCAATTGGTTTTTATAAGGCCAGGTGCTTAAAGATGATAAAAATCTTGTATAATTAGACCCGGCCTTCAAATTCTGGAAAGATCACAGTAAATCATAACATATCTGCATATTTACCGTAATTGTCAGCTTCATATTATCCAATCATTGAAAAAAATTTTCATCAAAGTACCCTAAAACACTAAAGTATTTTCCTGAATCTATATTATATTCTCAGCTCATAGCGTTTAGACTCCGTTTTCTATCCCAAAGTATATGGTCACATTTCCCATTGCCAGTGGGTCCTTATGATCTCCCGCAGGATTTACTCAGGATGCCCAACGAAGTCCTCTAGCCCAACAGACTGGAGATCACTTAAGACAGGAAGCTGTTCCTTTAACCACTGACAAAATGTATGTGTAATTTCCTCTAAATTAATCACTTTTATGTACTATTGCTATGCTAAGTGCTTTTTCCTAAATTCCTTGGAAATTTGCAACAGGGAGTGCGGGGTTAAGAAGCCAGGTTACTCAACTAAGGGTCAAGTTCTGTAGAGTTACATATAACTTTTAAAAATGATAAAAATAAATAGTACAATTGTTAAAAATTAGCATTTTTAAGTCGATTGAGTCATCACTTCATCATACTCACAGAATCCCTGTGTACCATGCACTCCATTAGAATCTGAAAAAGGTGCCTGGTCTGTTTAAGACTGAAGTTGAAGGTGTTCTGAATCATGCAGATGATCTCCTCCTTCACCTGAGGACGGAGTGTCCTGGGAGAGAAATAAGTGGCTGGGACTTGACACAATGCAGAGAAGGGAACAGTCACCAACATCAGTACAAGAAAACCAAGCGTCTGCCTGACCTGACTGAGAGGCGTCTATGGACAGTTCTGCCCAGGAAGAAAATGAGCAGGAAGCAAAGAGAGGCAGCGGCACCAGAAATCTGAATTTGAAAATGAGAATAGACTGCTCGGCCATGATCCTGGAAAGACTAAACTTGGGCAAGGTTCTCGAGCTGGTAGATTTCCAGGAGGCCATCAATCTTCAGAAGTTATGGACACAGTATTCTCAAAAGGATCTGAAACCCCAAAAAGTTCAAGAACCGCTCATAGAGGGTGACTTTAGGAAAGGGAAAGGTGTGAAAGGATAAGGAAGAGGGTGGAGGGTGAAAGCAGAGAGCCGAGGGCTGAAAAGGAGATCAATTGTAAGGAAATAATCGTCCGAAAGCAGTTATAGCATAAGCATGAGTGTTTATTAAGTAAATTAGCAGGATCTATATTTTAGTTCATTAGCACTTTATTTACTAAATGTCATGCTTTTGAAATGGGAAAAACCACAGTGGATATAGGGATGGCTGGAGAAAAATCACCTTCTTATTTAAAAGGGGGGAAAGAGCCAGGCCGGCGTTCAGTGGTTGAGCGTCAACCTATGAACGAGGAGGTTACGGTTCAATTTCCAATCAGGGGCACATGCTTTAGTTGTGGCTCAATCCCCAGTGTGGGGCATACAGGAAGCAGCTGATCAATGATTCTCTCTCATCACTGATGTTCCTATCTCTCTCACCTTTCCCTTCCTCTATGAAATCAATAAAAATGTATTTTAAAAATAATAATATAAATAAATAAATAAATAAATAAATGGGGGGAAAGAATTAAAAACTCAAATAAGCACAAAATACATTATATAAATGTCAGAACGTTAATTTCTCCAATTCCTGCTATTTTCTTTGAAGGTGATCTTGTCACAATGGTTTCCTCACTCACTGCAGAATGTTTTAGCCTTAATGGCCATTTGCAGAAGCATCTCCTCCCTCACTCTCCCTGCAAATGCTTTTCTCAGGAGTTCAGACAAGCCTCACGTGTACCTTAGAGGCAGGTCATTCTTCAGCTCAGGGAAACAGCAACTTGCGTCACTGGAGGGCATTTTAATTGATAAATACAAAAATCATTGAAAAATGAATTCCAGTCTCCACCTCTGCCCTCCAAGGATATCCGGCCCATGTGAAAGCAGAGCTTAAAGAACTAAAATGAAGGGACAGTCACGGCAGTTTCTGAGGTGAGAGCCAACCACTTACCCTTCATCTGCTAAGTGTTTGTGGGTGAAGGCCAGGAGGTCGGCCGCCCTGCCAGTGCCTTCACACACCACCACTGGGTGTTTGTCTTTCACGGTCTCCCACACCGAGAGGATGACATTGGGACCTCCTTCCACCACCAGCCCCACCATGGGCACGCCTTGTCTTGAGCCTATTTCAGATGACAAACAATACAAAACTGTTACACAGCAACCCTATCTCGGCCGACCAGCCATTCTGATTTCCACATAATTGGAAATGTCACCACAGACATCTGTTACCTGTTCTACCCCCTTCCAAGATAAGCAGAAGCTTGGACGTTAAATAAACATAGTATCTTCAAGCTTTCTCTGGTTTAAAAAAAAAATAGCTAAAGGCTTTCAGTAATTTTTTTTAAATAAGTAGTCTTCAAGAAACTTTTAACTTTTCATAGTGGAAAATTTCAAACCTATCTGAAAGAAAGCAGAATAATATAATGGATCCCAATATACCCATCATTCATCTTCAAAAATGATCAACATTTTGCCAATTCAATCAACTTTTAATGGCGGTTAATTCTATGATCAAGATGGAAAGGATAACACTCAAAGACTATTACATTTCAATTTATTACATTTTCACTGTTTGAATGTCTTATCATGACTATATACTAGTATTACTTTATTATATTCTTTTTTGAAAATATTAAGTCAACAAAAGTTATGAAATAAAGTGCATAGTATGATCCTATTTATATTTTTAGAACCATATACATGGGTATCTACACGGTATCCCCAAAAATGTAACACACTTTTACACTTTGAAAATGAAATGTATTTTAATAAACAGTGCCTTTATAATTATTCAAAGTGTGTATACATTTTTGGGGACACCCACATACAGTATTTCACCTCAAATTAAAAACTCCTGGAACAGCCATCCCAGGAAAGGGCCCCCTCATCATCGAGGGTTGAATTATGAAGAGATGCCACCTTCTGCTGCCTTGAACAAAAAGTCTCCATTTCTCCAGGCAGCACCCAGCCCCGCTCCTCCCTGCAAGGATTCCCACCTCTCCACTCAAGGATACTCACCGAATGTGGCCCTCACTCACCTCTCCCTCCTGTAGATACTACCAAAATGGCCATCTCAAAGCATCACTGTGAGCAGGACACAGCATGGATACCTTCTATGGTTCCTATTTCTAAAAGCTCTGTCTGACTTCAACCTCTTCCCTGTCTGAGGCAACCCTACCCACATATGAAATGCCATTTCCCCTGAGTATCAAAGTTCATACCCCTGGTCTTCTCAGGCCAGTCTCCTTCCTGCTCTTCAACCAATCCCATTCCCTCCTTTCTTCCTCCATGCATCCAACCCTAAGGACTCCTGGACGCTCTGCTAAAGTCCCCACTCTTCCACAAAACCTCCCCTGTCTATACTGTCCCCATAAAATACTATATATTTTTTCCTTTCTCCCAAATGTCACTCACAGCTCTGTACCACCGCACATCCTGTTTTCTTCTGGTTGTGGGCTCATACACATTAAGGCAGGGGCTGCCTTGGACCTCTCCACTCTATACAGATGACAATGGAGCAGCCAGCTCCACAGCGGACCTGTTGGCCGACCCCCTGTGGTACTCACCGCTGTGTATTTTCTGCAGAGAGAGGTACTTTTCCAGGTTCCTCCTTAGCTTCATCTCATTCCCATACTTGCCCACAGTCCCGTCATCGGACAGGATGAAGTAGGAATGCATGCTGTTGAGTGTGGTGAGCTTGCTGAGGGGGTTTCCCAGGGTCTGGTACAGGCACACCACCTGCAAGGACAAGGGAGGGTCAGAGCTCAAGGTTCTTCCCTCAGTTCAGCTGCTCCAAAGGCCTGTCTCTCTGTACTATAGAGGTTCTTGTTGAGGTTAAAAAAGCACAACTTGCTACCAAGAACAGTGCTTTTCAAGCTATCTGTGGGGAAGGATCAATATGTGTGTTTTTAATATTCCAATTTTTTATTGACCGATATGTTCTACTAAGTGTGACTAGTATGCAGTTCTGCTCATGAGACTCAATACAAGTTCAATAACACGGGCACACTCCTCACTCAGCAAGATAAGCCCACTGACCATGTGCTTGGATGTCACAGCACTGCCATGTTGCTAAAAATGGTTTTGAGTATTTCTTTTCAATTTCAGTACTTACCTTGCTTCAGAAGATTGTAAAAAGGTTCAAGAAGCATAACCAATGGACATAAGACACTGGGGGGTAGGGGAGGCCAGGGGAATGTGGGGGGGGGAGGGGAGACATATGTAATACTCTTTGTAATACTTTATGCAATAAAAAAAATTTAAAAAAAAAGAATCTGCATCTTTACACAGATTACATCGTCCAGAAAATATGCCTTTAGAAGATCTATTCCAGAATAATATTTTGGAATAGTATCCCAAATGAGATGAGTAGCAGACAACCAAATGGCAATTCATTCTATATAAAACATCGAGATCTTAAACATTTACTGACTCTTCCTCACGCTGTTCCCATTCTTAATTGTTTTTCCGAGACGAGAGGAAAGGATTTGGAATTGGAGAGCCCAAATTTAAGTCCAGACTCTTCTAACTAATTCTAGGTAATCCCTACCTCCTTTCTGAGACTGATTTTCTTCATGTATAAATGAAGATGGCAAGAATTTCTACATCAAACGGTTTCTGTGAGACTTAAAAGAAATAATGACTATAAAAAGCACTATAAGCTTTACAAACATTATTCCTAAAAAGTTACCTTTATAATTTCAAAAGGTAACACTGAGGCCAGAAACAAAGAGCAAATGATTGACAGATTTAATATATTTTTTTTATTTATGGAATGATCATAAATGATATTTTTAAAAACTGGAGGAAATGCAGCATATATGACAAAAAATGTAAACAGACTGAATTACAACATAAAAAGTCTTTCAAAAACAATAGCCATGCTTGAAAATGCTCAGAAACAACATTAGTGATCAAAAGATAGGTAAATAAGAACAATTAGGTATTATTTTATACCTTTTTAAAGGCCAGAATACCCAGAGAATTGGAACAGAGAATTGGACACCCTCACACCCTGTTGGTAGGAATGTCAATTGTTACTATCTTTCTGGAAGCCAATGAGTAACATTTTTAAAGGTAGATGCCAACTAGCCAAAACATTCTACTTTGAGAACTACTTTGAAGGAAATAAAGCCAGCTAGCTTCAAAGATTTATATATCTTATGCATAGCCCATGGACACAGACAAGAGTGTCCTGGGGCGGGGCAGGGACTAGGTGGAGGGGAGTAAATGGGGGGTGGGGATGGGGGACATCTGTAATACTGTCAACAATTTTTTAAAAAAAGAAGGATTCTGTAAAAGTTGGTTTCAACAGAAGCTACTCATCTGTAAATATAATAATAAAGTACTATTAAAAATTGCAAGAAAAGATTTATGTATCTTATTATAACATTAATATCATTTTTGCAATAGTGAAAAACAGGAAATCATCTAAGTGAATAATAGTAAAGGAATAGTTAAATAAATTTATAGTACTTTAATACAGTGGAATATTATGAGGCATGAAAAATCAAAATGGACTCCTAGCCCTCCAGAATTTGGTCTGTTTAGTACTATTTCCCACTAAAAGCAACCATTCATTTCTCCAGAAGCAAAAAATATATACAATGAGCCTGGAACATTTTTTTATACCAAAATGCCAGGAAGCTATGAAAAATGACTAAAATTATTTATGTTAAAAGGACTCCAGAGACAACTCAAAAAGGCTCTACTGGGCTAAAGTAGACAATTTGAGCATGATTAAGAATAACAACTGTAATGGATTAAAATATATTAAATATGTTTAAATTCATGAATTAAAATATATATATATGGCTCACCTTGGAGGATGATAGATAACAAACTTATTGTTTTATAAACTGGTAAATAAAGAGAACGAGTCAAGCATTTATTCTACCCCCTTCTATATAACTGTACCACAAGGCAAACTAAATGGCTGATAATAAAATGTTTTTCTCTATGGAGTGTTCAATCTAATAAATGAAGAAAGAATACTATAATATATGTAAGCATTTTGCAACCCTATTGAAATAATGAATGTAGGCAATGACATCATAAAACGAGATATCATATGTTACCAGGGAAGGACACATCTCCTCCTGCGGTGTAAACTTGCACAAATAGAACCTGAATCTGATCATATCTTTGGATCAAACTACCAATTTACAGGAGACAGAGAAACAGACTAAACCTTCTATAAGAGGTTAAATCTGCAAAGTTCAAATTGTGGGAAACTCTTCAGGACAAATGACCCAGTGTCTTCAACAAATAAATTGACAAAAAAAAAAAAAAAAAAGAAAGAAAAGAAAAGGAAATGGAGGGAAAAATCTTTAGATTAAAGGTGATTTAAAGTGACTCAATTAAACAAATAAGTGACTCAAAGACATATCAACCCATCACAATGCAGGGAACTTTTTTGGATAATGAAATCAAACAACTGAAAAATTATGAAACAATCAGAAACTTGAACACAGACTGGATATTTTATGATATTCAGGAATTATTGTTAATTGTTAGGTATGATCATGGCGATGTGACTTAGTATATTTTTAATTGTCCACATATTTTAGAAATACCTATTAAAATCTTTACCAATGAAATTATTTAATGTCAGGAATTTGCTTCAAAATAACAGAGGGAGGAGGTGTGGAGTGGATAAGGAAATAGATGAAATAAAATTGACTATCAGTTCATAAGTTGAAGCCAGGAGATGGGAATATAGGAGTTCATTATTCTAATCTATCTACTCTTTAATATGTTTAAATTTTCCAAAATGGAAGTTAAAATAAACCATAAGCATATCTATATTAATTGCCATAGAAAAATAACTATGCTAAACAGTTAAGCTAAGAAACAGATTCACAGTAGTGGGTTTCTATTATTATTTATTTTACATACTAACTTTTTTTACTATATATATATATATGGAATAATACATACCAAGACATTAACAGGAGTTTTCTTTCTTCTTCAGACCTTTTGTAATATCTGAGATTCTTTCCAAAAATATCCACTAGTTATAAACCTAATTAGACAAGTCTATTCCCTTTAGAAAAACAAACTAATGGAACCAAAGAATCAATACACAGGATGAATGACACAGAGAATAGTGATGAGAGAAGAGAAGGGCCAAATCATGATGTCCCTTATTTCCCTACATGCACACCACAGCAAGAAGTTTGGCTTTTGCCCTAGCTGGTTTGGCTCTCTGGATAGAGCGTCGGCCTCCAGTCAAGGGCATGTACCTTGGTTGTGGGCACATCCCCAGTAGGGCGTGTGCAGGAGGCAGCTGATCGATGCTTCTCTCTCATCGATGTTTCTAACTCTCTATCCCTCTCCCTTCCTTTCTGTAAAAAATCAATAAAATATATATATATTTTTTAAAAAAAGACGGTTGGCTATTACTCTGCATGAGACCGGATCCACTGAAGGATTTTTCACAGAGTAGCATGATCTAGTTCATATTTTAGAAGAATCATCCTGGCTACTGTGTTTAGAATAGACTGTAATAAGAGACAAGAATGAAAGTAGGGAAGGCTCTTATATTCATCCAGGTGACAGAAAATGGTAGCTTTGGACCTGCTCAGTAACAGAAGAGGTCAGATTCTGGATATATTTTTAAACTAAAGCTGAGATAATTTACTGAACGATCGGGTTTGAGGCATGAAACAGAGATCATTCCAGGATGAGTCCAAGGTTTTTTCCTTGACCAACTGCAGGGATGGGCTTGTCATTTTCAAAGATAGGGTAAGGGAGGCAGTAGGAAGTCAGGAGTTGGTTTTGAATATATCACATTCCAGATGTCCACTGGATACACAGGTATAGAGCTAAGCTGGCAATCGGAAACATGTCCATTTCCTTTTGTTGTGAAAGGACCGTCTACTTACATCTTTTCCAATAAGATCCCTCTGGTTCTCAATGACACCCCATGGAGGGATTCCAACTGTCCAGATTTTTCTCAAGCACTGGGAGAAATGTGCTTTCAAGGCTTCCCCAACATGTTTGGACACTCCTATGAACAAGCAGTTTAGAAGTTAAGCTTTAACTCACAAATCAGGAAAAAAACACCATGAGTCCCAGAAAAAGACAAATTGTACAAAAGGCCATTTTAGGAAAAGTTGTTGACACAGAGGAATTAGTTACTGTATCTTGGCTTCCTCTACTCCCTCTTCACACCTCTTATTCCTCCCACTGAACTCTTTACCTGAACAATGCTCCTCTCACTATGAGCAGTTTCTGCTCACCACCTCAGTTATGTTATGCCCCCACACTTGTCCGACCAGAATGTCCTGCAAGCCCAGCCCTGAAATCATAAATTCTCTAAGGATTTTTTTCTTCTCTAACCTTCTGCAATGTCCCTGTAAAACATTCTTCAGATCGGTCCCGGGCTTCATTGAGGCAAGTTATTTTAATAGTTTTATATACACAAAGATTCCAGAGCTAATCTATAATAAGAAAAGCATAATATGCTAATTAGACCGGATGACCTTCTGGACTAAGCCGGGGCTGCGAGGGAATCCCGGGTCCCAGGTGCCAGAAGGAAGCCGGTGTCAGCAGCCAGGGAAAGGAAGGCCTACTCTTGCATGAATTTCGTGCATTGGGCCTCTAGTACATTAATGTTTGCCCTTCTGGGATTAATAGTAGCAATAATCATAACAGCCAACTCTTACTATGCACCAGGTGTTCTTGTAAGTGTTTTACATGTATTTACACTTCAAGGAGAAACTTTCTTAGTACATTAGTCAATTTTATAGATAAAAATTAAGGCACAAAGAAGTTAAGTAACTAGCTCAAGGTTATAAAGCTTGTAATTGTAGAGCTTGGATTCCAAACCAGGAAATCTGATTTTTCTTAAGAGACTTCACTTTTTAGACCAGTTTTAGGTTCAAAGTAAAACTGAACGTACAGGGAATTTCTATAAACTCCCTACTCCCACACACCTTCAGCCTCTCCTACTATCAACAACCCCCACCAGAGTGATACATTTATGACAATTAATGAACCTACATTGACACATCATAATCACCCAAAATCCATAGTTGACATAAGAGTTCAGTTTTGGTGTTGTACACTCTATGGGAGGGGTGGGGATCCTTTTTACTGCCAAGGGCCATTTGGATATTTATAACATCATTCAAGAGCCATACCAAATTATCAATTTAAAAATTAGACTGCTAGCCCTAGCTGGTTTGGCTCAGTGGATAAAGCGTCAGCCTGTGGACTGAAGGGTCCCAGGTTTGATTCTGGTCAAGGGCATATGCCCAGGTTGTGGGCTTGATGCCCAGTGGGGAGCATGCAGGAGGCAGCCAACCAGTGATTCGCTCGCATCATTGATGTTTCTATCTCTCTCTCCCTCTCCCTTCCTCTCTGAAATCAATAAAAATATATATTTAAAACAATTAGACTGCTATATTTCTTCCAACATTTAATTAACTCACCCATAATGCTTTGGTAGGGCCAGACCAAAAGATTTCAAGGGCTTATACAGCCCGTGGGCCGGACTTTCCCCACCTCTGCTCTTTGGGTTTAGACAAATGTATAAATGATATGTAGTCATCATTATAGTGTCACACAGTATTTTCACTGCCCTAAACATCCTCTTTCTACCTATGCACTCCAGCCTCCTCCTGTCCCCAATCTAACCCCTGGCATCCACTGATCTTTTCACTGTCTTCATAGTTTTTCCAGAATGTCACATAGTTGGAATCACGCAGTATATAGCCTCTTGAGATTGGCTTAATCTGACTTTTAATCACAACACTACATTGCACCACTTATTTATCCTATGTATAGTACTGATTCTGTATATGACGTTAGCACAGAAAAAAGATAATAAGCTGCACATTGCATGTACCTAAATCATTTCCTTCCCCTCCAACCCATCTTTATTTATTTTGTTGTTGTTGTTAATCCTCACCTGAAGATATTTTTCCATTGACTTTAGAGAGAGTGGAAGGGAAGGGGAGAGACAGAAAGAGAGAAACATTGAAGTGAGAGAGACACATCGATTGGTTGCCTCCCACACAAGCCCCAGGCGGGGCCAGGATCGAGCCTGCAACCGGGGTATGTGTCCTTGACCGGGAATTGAACCTGAGACCCTTCAGTCCATGGGCTGACTCTTGATCCACTGAGCCAAACTGGCCAGGGCTCCAACCCATCACTTGCACTTCTCCCAGAGTCATTGTCTAGAATCAGTTCTAGACCACAGACTCACATCAGTATCAACTGTGGAGCCATCCACCACAATAGATACCTAGATTTCATAAATTTGGCATGGGTTACCAGCATTGTGGTGTGGGAGGAGGGGAGTGGTGGTGGTGGTGAATCAGCAACCCACATGTGATCCTAGCACATATTGTTTGTTGAGACTCTGTAGAACCAGATATGACTATACCATTCCCTATTTATTCTCCTATTCAAAATCCTTTGAAGGCTCCTGCTATATAGAGAATAAAATCTCAGCCCATCAGCATGGCACCCAATCTGGCTCCAGTTTCTCTTTCTGTCCCTGCCTCTGCCATATGAGATATCCAGCCGGTGGCCTGAACACCTTTTTCTACATATGCCTTAATCTCCAGCTGTGTGCCTAGCCCAGATCTGCCACCTCTATCTGCCTCTTCTTACTCTCTCACAAGGCTAACACCAAGTGCTATACCCTTCTCCAACCTTCCCAGGTGCCTCAGTTGGAACTGGAATTTATCTCTCTTCCTTTTATTCTCAAACACTTTCTTTATATCTCAACAATGATCCTCCCAGCATCAGTTTTTAGTTAGTTGCTTACTATTTGCTTATTGTTACAACCTACCAATCACTAATCCCAGAGCCCATATCTTCCCCATCTTTCACCCACAGCATCTATGCTACTGCTTTGTAAGTTGCAGATTCTTAAAGCTTGTGGAATTCAATTTAAGCAAATGTCAAAAATTCACACCAAGTAATGTTCAACTATAGTTGAGAAGCATCTCAAGCATAGGCGTAAGTTCATAAGCAGAGCTTCTTAAATTTAAATGTGCATAAGAATCATCTGGGGATGTTGTCGAAATGCAGATCCTGATCCTGCCAGGCTAGGAAGGAGCCCAGCAAGCTCCCAGGGGATGCTGATGCTGCTTGAGTAGTCAAGTCCTAGACAGATGTGGTTGAAACAGATCCGACCCTGATTATTTTGTTTTGTTTTGAGAGAGATCTATTTGTTACAACTACTTATTTATGTATTCATTGGTTGATTCTTATATGTGCCCTGACCACACATTGAACCCCAAACCTTAGCATATCAGGATGACTAGCCAACTGAATACCAAGCCAGGGGGAACCTAGTTATTGTTTAAGGAAGCTCCAAGTATGTCTCATTTCTCATTTCTTTGTTCATACAAACTATTTCAATAGTTTTCCCACTCATATTTGTGTTCCTTAACTGGTCCTAACCTAAAATGTTGGGGGGAAAAAGGCAATAAGTAAAACAAAGCACATAATGCATGATGCAGTTAGTTAGCCTTGCCCAAGTCTACCTTTTTCTGAACTCTGCAAAACTTCCCAACCCACCCCTTTTGTACTGGAAATAAAATAAGTACTGTACAACGGACTAAAAACTCAGCCACATTCACTGTCTTCCAAGAACCTGAAACAATAATTATCTCAATAAAATGTACACGAAAAACAACCAGATTACCCATACATGACAAGCCAAATCCCTTGGTTTTATTTTGCTTTGTTTTCAACCATTTGCTTCCTTCATTCCTTTCAGTCGGAAGAAATGATTTGTTAAATCAGCATGTGTTGCTCAATGCCTGGCAGAATTATAGGCCCTGGCCTCTAGCTCACAACCAGGAAGAGGAGCTAATACACAGACTCATCCATCCCTATACAGAAAAGCATAGAATGCTACAAGTGCTATAGGCAGTAGACGCTATGGAGATTAAGAGACAAAAGTGAGTTGAGATAGAGAATGCTTCCTGAGAATGTTGGCATCCAATGTAGCTCTTAAAGGATGGGCTGAAATTAATAGGCGACAATGGCTAGGACCAATCAAAATTAAAAATCAAGAGAGAAATAAAAGATGAAAAACCATACTGTGATACTGTGATTTATAATAAGAAATATATTCCTGACACAGAGCTCCTTAAACCCTTGGAAATTCTTAAGTGATGAGAGTAACAAAGGTATGTTAATGAGGTGACTTTTGAACTGCACCAAAGGATGGGGCCTTTTGCCAGGGGAACCAACCAAGCGTTTAGAGGGCTGGAACTTTCAGTTCCACCCCCTGACCTCCAGGGATGGTAGATTAATTCAATCAGCAATAGCCAATGATTTGATCAATCATGCCAATGTGATGAAGTCTCCATATAAACCAAATGGCCAGGGTTTAAAGAGCTTTCAGTGGGTAAACATGTGGAGAAGAGGGGAGGGCATGGAAGCTCTGTGCCCCTTCCCACATACCTTGCTTTATGCATCTCTTCCACCTGGCTATTCCTGAGTTATATTTTTTAATAATAAACTGGTAATCCAGGGAGTAAACTGGTTTCCTAAATTCTGTGATCCACTCTAGCAAATTAATTGAACCAAAGAAGTGTGCCTTGGGAACCTCTGATTTATAGCCAGTTGGTCAGAACTATAGGTAACAATCTGGACTTATGATGGGCATCTGAAGTGGGGACAGTCTTGTGGGCCTGAGCCTTTCAGCCGTGGAATCTAGTGCTGTTTCCAGATAGAGTGTCAGAATTGAGTTGAATTATGGGACACCCAGCTGGTGTCAAAGAATGTGTTGAGAAAGAACCCAGACCTCAGAACTGGTGCCAGAATCATAACAAGTGATTGTTAACAGAGGAGGCTTGTAAAGCGGCAAGTTCTCAACCCTGGCTGCACATTAGACACACTTATGAAGCCCCACCCTGAAAAACTCTAATCGGGGGCCAAGTCTGTGCATCTGTATTTTTTAAAGCCCCCAAGGGAGTCTCTAATGTGAAGACAGTTCACAAATACTGATGCAAAGGAGTAGGGTTAGAGGTTCAGAAGCTACTGTATAAAGTCCCTGAATGTCAGATTTCAAGGAATATGAAAGAGTCAGTGATGGAGACAGTGAGTGAAATGACAATCATGGAGTTAATTATCTCCACATGACCAATACACTCCATGCCAATTGCTGCACCCCTCACTGATTTCCACTGCCTTGGAACTTGACCATGGTGAGGTTAGCTCATGTCCATGCCCACCCACCACATACCTGCGTGGATTCTATGTCCTTTTTAACCTCACCATAGTCTGAAACTCATTTTCTTTTTACCAGAAACTCGTACCCAACGTTATATAAAAATAGCGTATTTCAACAATAGTAAAAACACATTCCAGGAAAGGTCTAGGGTTCTGGGTTACTTTGCCAGTCACTCTGCTTTTCATCTTTCTCCCTCATGCCACCACATCCCGGAGCACTGCAGAGTGGACATTAGCTGCCATAACGCTTGATTCACAGTTAGAAAGAGGAATTGAAAAAAGATGTGTAACAAGGGAGTGTGCTTTACCGGTATTAATGCCTTCAGTTATTATCCACGCTCCCGTCGTCTCCGCAGCTTTGACCAGACCCTGGCTGAAGATCTCATTGAGTTTGGAGGGCATCTTAAAGTTCTGGATGCCCCCGTGGACAGAGATCACCAGCTTTGGCAATTCCATCTTCCACTCTTTCAACATCAAATGTAACAGGTGATCCATCTTTGTATCATAAGAAGTTCTAATATACTGGAAGATAAGCACATACACATGTGTATAAAATAGTGAGAAACACATGCCAGGTAATAATAAACACGTAGAAAGGCAATTAAAATAACCAAAACTTGAAAGGCAGGGTCTGAGATCTCTTCAAAAGTTCATCTTCACATAATGGAAATATTTACTCTGAAAGGAGCCCACACTCCCTTTCAGTTCCTTCTGGGAAGTACAAGTCACAGTAGGAAGGCTTCCTCTGGTTTTCAAGGCTGGCCCACCAATGTTCTCAGAAGGTCTCAGGTAGAAATACTTCAAAGTGGCAAAAATCACTACTCCAGCAAACCGACTTAAAAAGTTTTTAGAGTCATGGTTGGTGTTGCTAAATGGTTAGAGCATCAGCCTGCACACGCAAGGGTCATGGGTTCAATCCCCAGCTCAGGTCGGGGCCTGTGCAGAAGGCATCCAATCAACGTATCTCTCTCACATCGATGTTTCTCTCTCCCCTCCTCCCGCCCTCCTTCCCTTCCACTCTCTCTAAAAATCAATGGAAAAAATATCCTCCAGTGAGGATTAACAAAAATAAAACAAAACAATAAAGTTTTTAGAAATAAGTGAAACGGGATTTTTCATAAATGCTATGACTTGTAATTTACTTGACTATTTCACATATTTGCATAATTTAAATTAAGATCCATGAGCATGCACATTTAATTTCTTTTTTTTTAATTGTTTTTTTAACTTTTAAAATTTATTTCAGAGAGGAATGGAGAGGGAGAGAGAGAGAGAAACATCAATGATGAGAATCATTGATTGGCTGACTCCTGCATGCCCCCTACTGGGGATCGAACCCACCACCCGGGCATGTGCCCTTGACCAGAATCGAACCCGGTATCTTTCATTAGGCAGGCCACTACTCTATCCACTGAGCCAAACCAGCTAGGGCCACATTTAATTTCTTAGAAATTTTGCATTCTAACCATTTCCTTTATATATAATTATCCCAAAATAAATACTTTTTACAAAAGTGTCATATTTTTAATTAGCCAATGTAACTGAAAGAAAAGATGAGGAAGATCCAAACCAGTGGTAGCCCCAGAATCATTTCCCACTTTGCCCAAGGTTACAGTGTATGACTGGCTTTCTTTTTCCAGCAGAAGCAGCCACATACGGACCACTAGAATCATATTAAGACAAGTTGCCTTCCTCGAGCATAAGCCAACCAACAGCAAGAATAAGTCAGATTTACAAGAAGAAAGTGGGGCAATAAAAAAAAAACATAAATTAGCCGGGCTGGTGTGGCTCAGTGTTTGAACATCAACCTATGAACCAGGAGGTCACAGTTCGATTCCCTGTCAGGGTGCATGCCCGGATTGTGGGCTCAATCCCTAGTAGGGAGCATGCAGGAGGCAACCGATTAATGATTCTCTCTCATCATTGATGTTTCTCTCTCTCTCTCTCTCTCTCTCTCTCTCTCTCTCTCTCTCTCTCTCTCTGAAATTAATAAAAAAATATTTTTAAGAGAACCAAGATGGCGGCGTAGGGAGCGGACCTGTGTGTGCTGCTCTCTCACAGCATCACTGAAACTATCAACTATGAAGTAAACAACCGCCACTCAGAACCATGGGGAAGTTGGCCCAGTGGGAGATCTACAACTGGAGGAAAAGAAAGAAGCGCAGTGAGACTGAGTGGGAGCTACGGAGGCACCAAAACCAGAGGTACGCAGTCACACGCCACGCGGGCTGCAAATGGATTCTCGGTTTTTTACGAACCCTCGAATCCTCTGGGCTTGCTCGGGGCGGGTCTCTGAGGCCCCAGATCCCACAGGGAGAGGCGGCCACGGCCTTGCAGTGGTCGGAGAGCGAGGGAAGCTCCGACACGCGGCTGCTCGCCGGCACTGAGGGACAAGAAGTCCTGGTGTCCCGGGGAGGCGAGGGGCGCGGAGACGCCGCCATCGCTATTTCCTCCACGCTGGCGACTCCCTGTGACCCCGCCCTACCCTCAGGGCTGTGCCAGAGGCACAAGAGGGAATGACTGTGCTTTTACAAACTCTCAAATCCACTGAGCTGGTTCGGGCGGGTCTCTGAGGCCCCAGGCCCCAAGGCGAGAGACGGCACGGCCTTCCAGCGGGTCAGAAAGCGAGGGAGGCTCTGGCGCTCGGCTGCTCGCCGGCACTGGGGGACGCAAAGTCCTGGAGTCCTGGATAGGCAAGGGGCCGCTGAGTCTCCACACGGCGACTCCCTGTGACCCCGCCCTACGCAATTTACATTCCCATCTGGGCTGTGCCAGACTCACAAGTAGAAACGCCTTTGCTTCTGCAAATTTTCAAATCCACTGAGTTGGTTCAGGCGGGATCATGAGGCACCAGACCCTACGGGGAGAGGCAGCACGGCCTTGCAGCCATCAGAAAGCGAGGGAGACTCTGTTGCACAACTGCTCGCCGGCACTGGGGGACACAAAGCCCTGGCAGAGATTCAAGGGGCCGCGGAGACTCAGCCAGTGCTATTTGCTCCGCTATGGCGACTCCATGAGTCTCAGCCCTAATCAATTTACATCCCCATCCAAGCTGTGCCAGGTGCACAAAAAGACCCACCTGCGCTTTTGCAGCCTATCCCAACAAATTGCAGACTTCAACTGCTCACAGCCATGGGAGACACACTCAAGAAGCAGACCCAGGAGAACCAGGATGGCGGCATAAGGAAGAGACCTGTGCGTGCTACCTCACACAACAACATCGAAACTACCAAATATCAGACAAACACCTATCATACAGAACCATGGGAAAGTTGGCCCAGTGGAAGCTCTACAACTGGAAGGAGAGAAAGAGCATTGAGACTGAGTAGGATGTGACACCAAGTACAGAGCCCAACCCAACAAACTGCAGATTTCAACTCCTCGCATAGAAAGAAGCGCATTGAGACTGAGTAGGATGTGCAGAGGCACCAAGTACAGAGCCCATCCCAGCAGGCTGCAGATTTCAACTCCTTGCATCTGGGAGGGACGCAATCAGGGGGCAGAGTCGGGTCCGGGGCCGGCCAGGGCTGGGCCTGACTCGGCCGGCACTGTGGAACTGCTGTACCAGCAAGCACACAAACATGCCCACTGGTCCCAGTCTCTTGTGGGGCGCTGGGGGACAGCAGACAGGCAGTCTGCGCACTTGGTGGAGGGCAGGAGTGCTGGATGTTCAACCACCAGGAACGCCTGGAGATTTTGTCTGGTGGGGAGCCGCCGGCAGGGGACAGAGGGCCAAACTTCCTGTTTCCCCGGTAAGGCTGGGATGGCCCCGGTGAGGTCGGGATGGCCCCGGTGAGGTTGAAACGGTCCCGGTGTGGTAGGGACGACCCCGGTCAGGTCGAAACGGCCCCGGTGTGGTAGGGACAACCCCGGTCAGGTTGAAACGGCCCCCGTGAGGTAGGGACGACCCCGGTGAGGTTGAAACGGCCCCCGTGAGGTAGGGACGACCCCGGTGAGGTCGAAACGGCCCCGGTGTGGTAGGGACAACCCCGGTCAGGTTGAATCGGCCCCGGTGTGGTAGGGACAACCCCGGTGAGGTTGGAACGGCCCCCACGAGGTAGGGACGACCCCGGTCAGGTTGAAACGGCCCCCGTGAGGTAGGGACGACCCCGGTGAGGTTGAAACGGCCCCCGTGAGGTAGGGACGACCCTGGTCAGGTCGAAACGGCCCCGGTGTGGTAGGGACAACCCCGGTCAGGTTGAAACGGCCCCCGTGAGGTAGGGACG